TTATGGTGGAAGGGACCAACTTGGCTCGTCAAAAAACATATTGAGTTTACTAGACCTTCAATACCACCTACACAAATGGAACGCAAAAAAGCCATACAGTCCTATGTTCATGTTACGGATTGTGAGAAAAAAATAATTAAATTTGAAGAATATGATACACTCACGGAGCTGTTGAGAGTAATAGTCATTTGTAAAAGATTTCTAAATATGAAGAGGGATCTAAAGATTCTAGACTGTGAATTAACTGTAGAAGAAATGCAAAATGCTTTAGATATTTGTATAAGACAAGTACAACAAGAAGAATTTTCAGACGAGATAAGACGATTAATGGACTACAAGCCTGTGAAAACCACGAGCATATTGAAGACCCTAAGCCCCCATACATTGACGAACGGAATATCCTCAGGGTGGGCGGCAGATTAGGAAACGCACACGCCGATGAAGACATAAAACACCCTATAAGCATAGGCAAGAGAAACCAATTCGCAACACTGGTTGTGGCTGACGCACACCAAAAAACAATGCATAGTGGAATTAAACTTATGGTTGCATACCTCATGAGTAAATATTGGATCATAGGCTGCAAGAGTTTGGTGAAAAAGTACATACAAAGATGTCTTACTTGTGCACGGCAACGAGCTACTATCAGACAACAATTGATGGGTGATTTACCTGAGCCTCGTGTGACTCCAACGTGTCCATTCTCTCGAAGTGGAGTCGACTTTGCTGGTCCAGTTTATGTGCTAAATTCAAAAGGAAGAGGAGCTAAAAGCAGGAAGGCTTACATTTGCATATTTATTTGCATGGCAGTAAAGGCGATACATTTAGAGATGGTGAGCGATTTAACATCTGATGCATTTATAGCAGCATTCAAACGTTTTGTTGCCAGAAGAGGAAGATGTAATGAAATCTGGAGCGATAACGGAACCAACTTTGTTGCAGCCAATAACGAATTATTTAAAATGTGGACAGATGCAGGACTGGAAATGCCTGAACACATAGCAGATCAATTCAATCATAGCAAATCAAAGTGATGGCACGCAATGACATTTTACACCACCACACACACCACACTTTGGAGGACTCTGGGAGGCTGGTGTCAAATCAGTCAAGCAGCATTTACGAAAAACACTGACATCGAACTTAACATTCGGGGAATTCATGACAGTGCTTACACAAATCGAAGCATATCTGAATTCTCGGCCTTTGACACCGATATCCACAGATGTGGACACGATCGAGGACATTCAAGTACTCACCCCTGGACATTTCATAATTGGAGAAGCACCAGTTACGATACCAGACCGCAATTATACTACAGAGAACTACAGTCTGTTATTCAGATGGCAACATACTCAAAGACTGGTTCAAACGTTTTGGAAACGCTGGCAGACTGAATATTTGTCCCGACTTAATCAACGACCTAAATGGTTAAAGAGAACACCTGAGTTGAAGTTGGTGATATAGTGTTGCTAAAAGATGAAAATTTGCCCCCTAGCAAGTGGACTCTGGCACGTATAAGTAAAAAACATCCTGGACAAGACAACATAACACGGGTGTATACCGTGCGTTATAATGGTAAATTAACTCAGAGATCCATCTCAAATTTATGTGCGTTACCGATTTCGAGTAAAGATTAATATTTTAAATTTAATATCATAACTTGAAATATTAGTATTCTTTGCATTATTTCATGTAACTAAGTATCAAATTGGTATTAGTGTGAAGTTTTAGTTTGTTTGTTTTAAGTTTTATATTTAGTAACAGCTTTTTATAAACTTACATTATTTAAATTGTAATGTTAAATTGTAAAGTTTTAAATTGTTGCTTATTTTAAATAAAAGCATTAAATAACTTAAGGTATAAACATTGTTAGTAGCATTTATTGTTTCAGTTACTTCATTTGTTTTATTAATTTGTTCATTTAGAAAAGGTCTTAAAGCCCTTTTGGAGGGCGGTATGTTTGACTAAGTAATGTATTTACTATAACTAGCTCTGTATTTGGTTATAGCGCTCATATTTCTTACTTTCATTTACTGTCCAATAGATCGTTGAACAAACCATACGTGTTTAATTTTATAATACTATACCCAAGCAATACTCGACCTAATTCAAAGCAACAATGATCGTAATCTACTTAGTTGAAAATCTTGTAAACAAAGTTCAGTATTTTGTGGTATTGTAATTTAAAATATTTTAATTAAAAAGACGAGTATAGGTATGTACTTGAGTAGTGAAGTAAATTTCAACTAAGGTTTGTAATAAAGTACTTAGGTATTACTTCTGTAGTTAAATTATTACTTAATTATTTTTTCGCTATAAGTACCTATCTAACAAAAAATGAAATAAATCTACCTTTCATTATTCTTCGGTAACTCAAAAAATGATATATCTGAATTCTTTTAATTGCTCACTAAGCAAGCATCCATTCCCGCAACAATTATAGTACGAACGACGTTTTGCCATTATAATTTATCAAACATAAATATCATTCTTAAATTACATTAAAACTTTTTCAACTATTTTATCCTACAATTAAATATACTAAACAAAAACTATTTCGACGAGTATTTCAACAAGTATTTACAAAAAATTATTTACGTAAACAGCGCTAAAAAAAACTTTAACATTCAATCGCCTAGAGCTCGCTAGCCCCGACTGCGATCTACCCCTGTGGCAGCTCGCGACTGTAGGTAATTATTTCACGCAGGTCGCAAGAGTGACAGAGGCCTGCTACAGTGAACTTTAGTCTGTTCCAACACGTTGGAGGTTTCCCGATCTACCCTCGATCCTACCCCGCAACCATTACTTTAAATTTAATTAAAATTTCCACTGCATGCAAAACTGTTACTCATCCAGGCACCCTCAACATTTCTTCCAACATTTGTAACATATTTAGGCACATTAGGAAATAAAAAATGCTTTCTTAATTTCTTAATGTGCCCAAATATGTTTATGTATTTAAGTGGAAAATCTGATCTTATCCGTACTCTAAAAATAGAAAAGATAGATAACCATAAAATTAAAAATATATTCATATTTAACTATAGTGAGCCGTGGTAGCTCAGATGGTTAGCGCTCGCTGTAAGCTTCACAATACTCGAGCAACTCGGGTTCGATCCCCGCCGGCACCACTGAAATTATTAATTGCAATTTTAAGTGCTGATTTACCACATGCTCGGCGGTGAAGGAAAACATCGTGAGGAAACCTGCATGTCTGAGAAATAAGAAAAAAATTATTTCGAAGACATGTGAAGTTCGCCAACACGCATTGTGGCAGCGCGGCGGACATTTCCTTGCCCTAAAACCCTCTCAGAAATGAGAGGAGGCCTGTGCCCAGCAGTGGGACGTAAAAAGGCTGCAACTTTTATCTCATAGTTATTCACTAGGAGGAGAACTTTTTGGCCAAAAACCAGAAAGTTTTTTGTGCGGTCATGGACTTGGAAAAGGCTTATGACAGAGTGGACAGGAATGTGTTATGGCAAACACTGAACTCATTTGTGTTGAGCGCTGGCTTGATACAGGCATTAAGGTCTCTTTATAGGGACTCTAGTGCTTTGTCAGGATCAATGGTGTCTACTCGGACTGGTTTGGCATTCGTAAAGGTGTCAAACAGGGGTGTGTGGCTTCTCCGTAGCTGTTTAACCTATTTATGGACAGTTGTTTGCAAGCTTTGAAAGTTGAAGAATGTGGGTTGAGAATGGGTGAGTTAACCGTCAAATGCCTTTTGTACGCCGATGATCAAGTCATATTTGCATCGTCTGCGGCCGAGTTGCAAATGATGGTTACTTTAATGAACTGGTCATTAAAAGAAAGGGGTATGAAAGTGAACGCAAGTAAGACGAAAGTGATGGTTTTTGAAAGAGAAGAAAGTAAAACGTTATGTGAAATAAGAATAGAAGGGGAGTTTATTGAGCAATAAAAAATATGATAAGGATATAGAACGACGAGTGAACGCAGGAAATAGAGTGAATGGGGCTCTACACGCTATTATGAGGAGTCAGAATGTGTCAAATAAGGCACGTATGGCAATTCATAATGCTGTGTTAGTCCCTACTTTAATGTATGCTAGTGAAAGTTGGATCTGGCAGAAGAAGCATGAGAGTAGAATAAATGCTGTAAAAATGCGGTCCTTAAAGAGTATGCTAGGGCTGAATCTGAATGACAGGGAGAGAAATAGTGTGATAAGAGAAAAGTGTGGTTTGCAATATGACGTTGTGACGAGGATTAAGAAAGGAATGCTTCGGTGGTTTGGTCATGTAGAAAGCAAATTTATGTTGCAGAAATGAACGGCAGGGTCGAGAAGGGACGTCCTAGACGAAACTTTATCGACCAAATCGGCGATACATTTAAAATGGGCCAAATTAGGAGTATCCTTACCCTATGAGCGTGTATGCGTAGATATATTAATGTAAAGGAAGCGAGAGAGGTGTGTCAGGATCGCGCCAAATGGAAGTTGTGTGTGTGTGTGTGTGTGTGTGTGTGTGTGTGTGTGCGTGCGTGCGTGCGTGCGTGCGTGCGTGCGTGCGTGAGTGCGTGTGTGCGTGTGTGTGTGTTATTCACTATCGAAGAAAATCTAACTAACTAGTCAGTTAAGTTCCCTTTACTCACAAGTTTCTTTATTTTTCTTAACCTTTTTTTGAAATTGTACAACCAGTGCGTGTTGCCAGTGATGACTTACGGATCTGAGACGTGGTCCTTCACTGCTGGCCGTATGAGGAAGCCAAAGGTCGCTCAGCGAGCTATGGAGTGGGCTATGCTCGGGGTTTCTCTGCGTTATAAACTTAGAAATGAGTATATCCGCAGTAGAACCAGAGTGACCGACATAGCCCAACGGATTAGTAAGCTGAAGTGGCCGGCCATATAGCTCGAAGAACCGACAACCGATGGGGAAGAAAGGTTCTTGAGTGACAGCCTCGTACACGATAAAAGATAAGTTGTAATGGTAATTGTAAATACAATATGTACATGAGTTGGTAACGAGTGTATGTGTACCGCAGTCGCTGCGCGGCGATCGCTGTGTGCTCCTGAGCACGCACTTCATGGAGGAGGCAGATGCGCTGGGCGACCGCGTGGCGGCGCTGCACGCGGGCCGGCTGCGCTGTCACGCCACCACCATGCACCTCAAGCGTGCGCTCGGTACGTCCCGTGCACTACTCTGTACACTCTATATACACATGTACACGCTGCACGCTGCACGCCACCATCATGCACCTCAAACGAGCGCTCAGTACGTCCCGTGCACTACTCTGTACACTCTATATACACATGTACACGCTGTACACTGCACGCCACCACCATGCACCTCAAGCGTGCGCTCGGTACGTCCCGTGCACTACTCTGTACACTCTATATACACATGTACACGCTGCACGCTGCACGCCACCATCATGCACCTCAAACGAGCGCTCAGTACGTCCCGTGCACTACTCTGTACACTCTATATACACATGTACACGCTGTACACTGCACGCCACCACCATGCACCTCAAGCGTGCGCTCGGTACGTCCCGTGCACTACTCTGTACACTCTATATACACATGTACACGCTGCACGCTGCACGCCACCATCATGCACCTCAAACGAGCGCTCAGTACGTCCCGTGCACTACTCTGTACACTCTATATACACATGTACACGCTGTACACTGCACGCCACCACCATGCACCTCAAGCGTGCGCTCGGTACGTCCCGTGCACTACTCTGTACACTCTATATACACATGTACACGCTGCACGCTGCACGCCACCATCATGCACCTCAAACGAGCGCTCAGTACGTCCCGTGCACTACTCTGTACACTCTATATACACATGTACACGCTGTACACTGCACGCCACCACCATGCACCTCAAGCGTGCGCTCGGTACGTCCCGTGCACTACTCTGTACACTCTATATACACATGTACACGCTGCACGCTGCACGCCACCATCATGCACCTCAAACGAGCGCTCAGTACGTCCCGTGCACTACTCTGTACACTCTATATACACATGTACACGCTGTACACTGCACGCCACCACCATGCACCTCAAGCGCGGGCTCGGTACGTCCCGTGCACTACTCTGTACACTCTATATACACATGTACACGCTGCACGCTGCACGCCACCATCATGCACCTCAAACGAGCGCTCAGTACGTCCCGTGCACTACTCTGTACACTCTATATACACATGTACACGCTGTACACTGCACGCCACCACCATGCACCTCAAGCGCGCGCTCGGTACGTCCCGTGCACTACTCTGTACACTCTATATACACATGTACACGCTGCACGCTGCACGCCACCACCATGCACCTCTAGCGCGCGCTCGGTACGTCCCGTGCACTACTCTGTACACTCTATATACACATGTACACGCTGCACGCTGCACGCCACCACCATGCACCTCAAGCGCGCGCTCGGTACGTCCCGTGCACTGCTCTGTAAACTCTATATACACATGTACACGCTGCACGCCACCACCATGCACCTCAAGCGCGCGCTCAGTACGTCCCGTGCACTACTATGTACACTCTATATACACATGTACACGCTGCACGCCACCACCATCCACCTAAAGCGCGCGCTCGGTACGTCCCGTGCACTACTCTGTACACTCTATATACACATGTACACGCTGTACACTGCACGCCACCACCATGCACCTCAAGCGCGCGCTCGGTACGTCCCGTGCACTACTCTGTACACTCTATATACACATGTACACGCTGCACGCTGCACGCCACCGCCATGCACCTCAAGCGCGCGCTCGGTACGTCCCGTGCACTACTCTGTACACTCTATATACACATGTACACGCTGCACGCCACCACCATCCACCTCAAGCGCGCGCTCGGTACGTCCCGTGCACTACTCTGTACACTCTATATACACATGTACACGCTGTACACTGCACGCCACCACCATGCACCTCAAGCGTGCGCTCGGTACGTCCCGTGCACTACTCTGTACACTCTATATACACATGTACACGCTGCACGCTGCACGCCACCATCATGCACCTCAAACGAGCGCTCAGTACGTCCCGTGCACTACTCAGTACACTCTATATACACATGTACACGCTGTACACTGCACGCCACCACCATGCACCTCAAGCGTGCGCTCGGTACGTCCCGTGCACTACTCTGTACACTCTATATACACATGTACACGCTGCACGCTGCACGCCACCATCATGCACCTCAAACGAGCGCTCAGTACGTCCCGTGCACTACTCTGTACACTCTATATACACATGTACACGCTGTACACTGCACGCCACCACCATGCACCTCAAGCGTGCGCTCGGTACGTCCCGTGCACTACTCTGTACACTCTATATACACATGTACACGCTGCACGCTGCACGCCACCATCATGCACCTCAAACGAGCGCTCAGTACGTCCCGTGCACTACTCTGTACAATCTATATACACATGTACACGCTGTACACTGCACGCCACCACCATGCACCTCAAGCGCGCGCTCGGTACGTCCCGTGCACTACTCTGTACACTCTATATACACATGTACACGCTGCACGCTGCACGCCACCATCATGCACCTCAAACGAGCGCTCAGTACGTCCCGTGCACTACTCTGTACACTCTATATACACATGTACACGCTGTACACTGCACGCCACCACCATGCACCTCAAGCGCGCGCTCGGTACGTCCCGTGCACTACTCTGTACACTCTATATACACATGTACACGCTGCACGCTGCACGCCACCATCATGCACCTCAAACGAGCGCTCAGTACGTCCCGTGCACTACTCTGTACACTCTATATACACATGTACACGCTGTACACTGCACGCCACCACCATGCACCTCAAGCGCGCGCTCGGTACGTCCCGTGCACTACTCTGTACACTCTATATACACATGTACACGCTGCACGCTGCACGCCACCACCATGCACCTATAGCGCGCGCTCGGTACGTCCCGTGCACTACTCTGTACACTCTATATACACATGTACACGCTGCACGCTGCACGCCACCACCATGCACCTCAAGCGCGCGCTCGGTACGTCCCGTGCACTGCTCTGTAAACTCTATATACACATGTACACGCTGCACGCCACCACCATGCACATCAAGCGCGCGCTCAGTACGTCCCGTGCACTACTATGTACACTCTATATACACATGTACACGCTGCACGCCACCACCATGCATCTCAAGCGCGCGCTCAAATGCACGGCACCACCATGCACCTCAAGCGTGCGCAAAAATATTCAATACTTGAGATGCAGTAGAAAATGCCTTTTAAGAATTAGTAGCCTCCAGTCCAGCTGATTTCTTCAAGCAGGGCATCAATAAACTGCCACTGCGTTGGCAAAGATGCATCGATTACGTGCGTAATTAATTTAATTAATAGAAATAAAAAGTATAGAAACAATTTACGTTAACTTATACTAAAAAATAATACGAACTTTCTTAGAATCAATGTTTATAAAGTAATATGCTACCTATACCGCAGAAAAAACAAAACAAATTAAAACATGAATTAGTGATTTTGAAAAAGGAATAACTTTTTGCCTTAAATATAAAATTTGTATGCATTTAGAACTGAAGCAAAACAGCAATTACAGTTCTAAGTTGCCAGTTCAACAAAATGGCATTTTATAGGTAATGACTATTACATATTATGTATACATGGAAGAGATGGACACGTGTTAACGCTGCACGCTTCTTAGATTGCAACTATAATGGATTGCCCACCCTTCAAACTCACTGTACTGTTTCTTAGGGACTTAAATAGGGAGATGATGTTACCTACTCTTCTACGTTACCTATTTAGTCGAAGTCCAAAGCAGACCCAACCCATTTTTTGCTTTGTTTTCCATCCATTACATGACAAACATTTTTCTTAAATACCTATGAACTACACTAAATATTTATATCTATATAATCTAGTGAACAAAAAACAAATCTATCACATTCTCAGGAACCGGTTACCGACTGTCTTTCACCACTATCGGAGTACCAAAAGAGGAAGCTATCACGAAGGTTGTTAAGTCCCAGGTGACAGATGCATCCGTCAAGGAAAAGTCTCTTAACACCATCACCTACAATCTGCCAGCGAAGAACAGCTCAAACTTTCCCCAACTGTTTAAGACTTTGGAGTCAAAAAGATCTGAACTGGCTATCGACTCCATAGGTGTTGGTATTTCTACGTTGGAAGAAGTGTTTTTGAAGTAAGTCATTTGTATATTCGATAATAGCAAAATAGCAGCTTAATGTTTCGTATGGTGAGTATAGAGAACCTGGGACCCTATATACTGAAAACAAGGCATTCCTATTTCTTCTATTCCATTCTTAATCCTCAGGGGTGACAACGCATTCTACATTTTAATTCATAATTGAGGAAAGATGTGAGTATAACATCTTGTCCAAAAAAGTTAATTGCATATTTTAATGAGTCTGATTGGTTCTACAATTACATATAAAGGTTTATTCAAATGTCATGTCAAAATATTTTAAGTTAAATCCAGCTTACACGAAAAGAGACACCCATTTTTATTTATAAGTTAAAAACACAAACAGGATAAAGGGTATGAAACAGGTCATATAGGACCTGAGACATATTTATTTTGTCTTTTCGTGGTAGAGCCACGCTGCGACTTTATTATGGTTGTAGCACGAATGGGTTGGCTCGTCCGTGGAAGGAACACGCTCTCACAGAAAACCAGCGTGAAAGAGCAGCTTAATGCTGCTGTGTAATGTAGAGAACCGTGGTTCTTTTTACTAGAAACAAGGCGTTCCATCTTAGTCCTCAGGAGTGACAACGCAGCTGCATTTTGATTCTTAATTGAGGATAAATTTAGATATTTATTTTCACACAGCATCCATTTATAAAAAAAGGACGTAAAGGAATAATTCTAGATTATTCCTTTTTTCAAAAACTTATTAAATAAAACATGTGCTATAAAATTGAAACAGCAGTTTTTGTTTTCATTATTTACATTGCAATAAAACAGGCTTGTTTTCGCTACTGTAAATGTGATTTATAGGAATACGAGCAACAATTAAGAAACGTAACATAAGAGTACATATGGCTCTCTGTTAGGCACAGGTTTTCACTGATTGTTCTGGTGTTTTAGAGGAAGGAAGTCTGCTGTTGCCCCGATACAACATAACTGACTTCACATATCCTTGAAACTTTTATTTTTGTGGAATTGTAGGTTTCAAACTATATTTCTTCCACGGACGATTATGTGGTAAATCAGCACTTAAAATTGCAGTTAATATATGCATTGATAGCGGTGGAGTTATAACTGACTGTTTACTATGAAATTTAGCATTAGCATCCAGTCTGGGAACCATTTCCATTGAAAATAATTTGAAAGTAAATAAGTAGGATCGCACATTTATACGTACGGATAAAGAATGGGATTTAAAATGGCGGCTCATTGAGCACGTGTTGTCAGACTGCCCAATACCTATAGCGAAAACCCGCTAATAACGGTATAACGTTATATTTATTTATTTTCGGTTAATTGGAAATTTTCTATTAATGGGAAAATATTTGAAAAGAATTGTATACGCAAGTAGGAACATTTATTTTAAAATAAAATTAATAACTATCGACCCGCTCTGGCTTCGCTTGAGATCTAATTGACGACTTAAGATAATCATTAAATTTCATTTATTTTCTGCTGACTTCAAAAAGGAGACTATTCAATTCGACTGTATGTTTTTTATGTGTTATCTCATAACTTTTTTTACTGGGTGAACTGATTTCGATGATTATTTTTTATTTGAAAGCTGGTACTTCATATGTGGTCCCATATTAGATCAAGGTCAGACCAATAGTTTTTGAGTTATTCTTAATAACTTATATTGAAGTCGGCTGTACAAAATTTTGAACTTTAAATTATATCTTATCAATATTTCTATTTTAATAAAATTTCTGAAATTTTTGAATAAAGTTTAGTCTTAATTACTAGCCTGTTATTACTGTTTATTTATTCGTGAAGTTTTATTACAATCGGTTCGGTCATACTGACGATTAGCTCGGACAGACAGACAAACGAAGCTTTTAAAAATGCATACTCATGTCTCAATGATATGTAAATATTATATACAAAAATATTACTAAATATAAAGGTACAAGTGAGGAAATTAAACCGTCTTCAATATAAATTATTAAGGATAACTCAAAAACTACTGGTCAGACCTTGATCAATCTATCTGATCTGATCAATTTATATGAGACCACATGAGAAGCACCAACTTTCTAATAAAAAAGAATCATCAGAATCGGTTCACATAGAAAAAAGTTATGAGGTAACACACATAAAAAAGTCGAATTGGATACCTCGTCCTTTTTGAAGTCGGTTAAAAATCGACAATAATTATAAAGAAAACTCAGACCGCGACGTAGCTCACACCCCAGCGAAATTGGACTGATTTTTTTAATTGTTTATGGCATTTTGTTATCATGGATTGCAATGACAAGTTGGACTGAAGTTTTAGGACGTACGAAAAACGGATATCGCTATGTATTTTTCTATGTTTTGTTGTCCTTACCGGCGGGTGTGAGTATAGAAAGCGATAGTATGCGAGCGAGAGGTGAATAGTTGCGACGCCATCTTCAATCCCATTCTTTAACTGCACGGGTAGTATAAATAATCATTATCTTTGCGCAGATTGTGCAGTGACATCGACACTACGTTCACTCAAGACGGCGTTGATGGCGGATCAGTTGGTACGTTCACTTGGAATAATTTATTTTTTGTTTAAATACTCATATAGTAGTAGATGCAGTGAGGACATCCTACTTCCGGACTTAAGTCTCCTTATTAACAGAGTAGCTAAGAATATATTGCCATTCTATTCTATTCATTTTATCTATCTATCAATGCATACGAAGGTACCATCGTATAACTGCACCATGAATAAAAATTCCAAAGAAAAGGACATTCAAATACCCGACCCCTAGAACAAGAAGTATTTTTGCGAAAAGACACTATAGTTACATTGCCCCGCATTTGTATAATAAGTTATACAGGGAATTTAAATTAAACTTAAATAATTACAGTAACCACCAAATAACGATAAGGATCAGAGTGTGGTTAGAGAATCCTGATTATGACAGCACAGAAGCACTTATGCCGTAGGTTTACCACACGCAATACTCACACACATATATTCCAACACACACACACACACACACACACACACTTACACACACAACAACACACGAACACACGCACGCACACACACGCACGCACACACACACACACACACACACACACACACACACACACACACAAAACAAGCGCTTAAAATAACATTTCTTTTATTTCTTATTTATATTTCTGTGCTTGTTTAACTTACTAAATAACTAAATTATTATTATTATTATATAGAAATTGACCTTTTGATAAGACTAACTTTAAGGGGAGGAACTGGTTTCTGAAACACAGTTACACTAGCTCAGGAACCAGGGAATCAATGAACTTTTGTAAAAAGGTAGTTATTAAATAAATAAATAAAAAAAACTTCATAATATGCCCTTGAAATATCTGAAGCTCCAAACAAAGAAGGCAATGTTACCTCTCAGTATTAAGATGGAATGCCTCACAAACTAATTATACTGGTTTTCTATACACTTTAGACCGGAACGCAACAGTGCAAGCATTAACTGTTATTTTGGCGACAGAAGTCTATAAGAAGATGGTACTGTTACGAGCTTGGGGTTCGAGACAATTAAAAACTGCCGATTGAATTACCGAAATTGACACTTTAATTTAACAACACTAATTACAATCTAAAACCACACTAATAATAAAACACAATCACTTTAGTTCGCAGTTATTACGCTTCGAAGTATTCTCTTGTATCGCCAATTCAATACTGTCTTGGTCGTGGTCTATACCGGCCTTATATAGGGCCTCAGATAGTTTCCAGAACCTTCTACTGTAGCGACATCTAGAATGTTCGAGTACATATCGTCCCGAAGTTTCTAGAAGGGTCTTGACTCTCCTAGTTCTGCTACTCGACACTAGAGGGCGCTAGTGTAATTAGTGTTGCCATGTACAAGACATTAATAGTGGCGCGCAAGAGTACTTACCCAGACGGACTTCTAGGTATAAAAAGAACCCTACCACATAGATATTAAAAGTCCTAAGATTTTAAACTTTGTTACCCCCATAATAGGATGTTATTCTGTATTGTGGAGTTGGCTTACATACATAAATTATACAAGGGCACACATCCGGACCCTGAACAAATATTTATAGACGATACAAACACTTGTGGATTCGAACCAAATGATCTGTAGCGCCGCGACCAGAAACTTAGCCGCTACGCTACGGGGTCGTCAGATATTTACAATCGCCATCAATCATCGTCAATTGTAATGTTGCAGAGCCAACGTACAATACAGTAACCGGTGTTCGTCTCTACTGGCAACAGCTGCTGGTGTTGCTGAAAAGACAAGTCAAGTACCTACTGTCCAAAAAGATGTCGGTTTTGATTCTAGTAAGTGCGAAGTTTTTTCCTCTCGGTCATTGTAACAAAATCTCGATATTCTTTACTAATGAATGTATTTAATTGATACGAGTTACCAAAATTAAATCTACGAATTTGGTTACGTACTCGTATTAGCATATTATGCATTCTGTATGTATTTTAATATATTCGCCGCAATACGATACAAAATTTTGTTAATATGCCAAGCAACACGGATGAAGCCGCGGGTATCAGCTAGTTTTGAATAAAAGTACAGTCAAGTCTTGCAACTTTATCAATGGAAGTTAACTTTGCCATCAGGGATGTATAGGTACAAAATTACGATTAACATGGACAACGTGATGTTTTTCGAGATATGCCATTTTTTGGATGAAAACTCAATAACTAATTGATAGTATTGTTTTTGATATAGCAACACGAGAGTTAATTTTATCATTTTATTTTAACGCGGAACTATGCTGGCGACGTAACCACTTTGTTCAGGGCTTAAGGAACCTTTTTAATTTTAGAGGAGAGTATTTTTGTTTGATATATTTTAAATTTTTGCTTAAGATTTTATTGTGACAAGATTTAAATAAAAACATTAAGTAAAGTAGGTAATCAAAGATTTTCGACAACCCTGACACATATTTTCAAGTTTTGTATGAAAAATTGAAAAATGAGAGGGCAACTTTGCCAGAAGCATAAGCTTTGCTACTTGCAACATAATTAAAAGAGCAAATCATAACTCTTGAGTGTTATGAATTATATTGTGTTAAACTTACCTTCAACCTTGAAGTCAAATCGTATTATTTTCATTAAAAACCCTGATGGCAAGGTTGCCAAAAAGTGAGTTAACTTTGTTATTTTCTTTTTTTGAGTATTTAGTTTATTTAATGTTAGTATTTTTTTAAATCACTAATAAATACAATATCTTTAAACTGGCTAAGTACTTAGTTTCCTAGATGAGTGTTACGTTTGCGCATTAAATAGGTTAATTTATTTTTTTTAAAAACGTTACCCCTACATTGGGATTTTCTCCTGTATCGTGGAGGCAGTTTACAAACACAAATTGCACAAGGACAAACATCCAGACCCGGAACAATTATTTGTAGGCCATACAAATACTTGTTTCGTGCGGGATTCGAACCCGCGGCCCTCAGCGTAGCAACTCATTGCAAAGCCACTACGCCACGGAGCCGTCAATAGGTACTAACGCAGCATTGTAATATGGCAGTCACGTGCCGTTTTTGACACATTTCTACTTCCCACATTAAGTAAATGGAGTTCCCATTCATTCTTCGTCCTCCATTCTTAATTCAATAAATTTATATTATCGACTAGCTGTTCCCCGTGACGTCGCCCGCGTGTAATTTAGTTTTAAAATTTTTGCGCGGAACCCTAATTATTTCTCTAAAATATAAGTAGCCACAGTTACTCTTTATAACATTAGTTATCTGCCAGTGAAAGTCCCGTCAAAATCGGTCCAGCCGTTTCGGAGATTAGCCGGAACAAACAGACAGACAGACAGACAGACGGACAGACAGACAGACAAAATTTTTAAAAATTGTATTTTGTTATAAGTAACGTATATACGTTCGTATGCATTTAGTAAAAGGCTGTAATTTTGACATTACAAGCAGACACTTCAATTTTATTTATTTGAGATTTGGAATTTCTTGTTATGATTCAGAAGTCTCATACTTGGATATAAACTGAAAAAATAGCCTCTGGATCATTAATTTGGCCAGTTTGTGTTTTGGATCATTTCTGTACAATACGGTCCAATTATACTTTTTGTTTTTATTTTATACTAGCTGTGCCCGCGGCGTAGCTCGCGTATACAGGTTTTACATAAAGAATTTGTCGTTTAGGTAAGAGAATATAAAACGATTTATTTCATTACTGTATCAATAAGTGGTAACTAAATAAATCATTATCATCAAAGTTCTAAGTCGTTTATGATAGAGCTTCTGTGTAAACGACGTTAGAAGTAGGCTTAGCCGGGGTGTACACAAAAAGGTTACGGGGGCTACTAACGCGGGAAAAAGCAGAGTTGGCCATGTGCAAAACAGTCAGTACTGAGGTACACTCCTACAACGCGTAAAGTTTGACCTTGCGCTTTATTTACGTTCATCGCATAACACACGCTCACTGTAACTGGGAACTGAACGCGCTAAAAACTGAAAGGAAAGTTAATTCTTACTAGAGGGTTTTTGGGCAGTGCTGCCCGATAAAAAAAAAACTCATTCAGCTCTAGGACAACACAAAAAGCGCTAGATTTCATGAAAACAGCGCTTTAAAAAAGCCCTAGATTTCGCGCTAAATTAACTACAAACAAAGTTTGTGTTTTTTTATATAATCATAATAAAGAAAACAACATTAAGTTTTTTTTCTGGCAATATTTTTTTGATGTATCAATACTTCGCAGGACATCGACTTATATTTATGGCAATTGCTGTCAACAGTAGTTAGTACTGTACGAACAATAAAAATGGCATTAATTGTTTTAAAGTGCAATGTATTTCGCAACTTAGTTTCAGATGTCAGCATCTGATTGCGGTTGCTACACAGTTTCTTTGTGTTATAACTTCTAAGTAACTTTTAACTTAGCTGTGCTCTAAGCAACTGACTGAAACTGAATAAAGCAAAATAAATGCGTTGCCAAAACCATGAACGAAAACTTTAATAAAGGGGATTTCCCCGCTTATAGTCGTCGGTAAAAAAATCAAGTTGATCATCCTAAAGGGGAAGCCAGGAGATCCATAGCACAGGGTATCCTAGTTTGGACTCGTCTCCCACGCTCTTTGTTTTGTGGAAAAAGTATGTTTGATAAAGATAAACTGCAATGTACTATTTGTGGGAAAAATAATAAAGGTCATTATTATTATTATATATTTCCTACCCTAACTTACCTAACACTTCCTTTTCACACCACCTATCCTTCCCCTTTTCCTATTCCTACCCTCCGCCAATCCAACGTCTGGCGCGCGGATGGATGCATGGCTAGGGGCGAGCCTAGTCATTAGCGTGCCACACTGCCCTGGGACCGGGCGACCCCAGAATTAGGCTAGCCTTACCCTGGCATGCGGGGCTCTGCTGGGGGGGACAAACCTTTCCCTCGCTATTCGTGGGAACGCAATGGATAATCATAAAAATAATTTAATTGACCAAAATGGCGGCGATGTGGTTCGCCACCCATCACGTCTCGTTTCTCGCGGGGGCGAAAAGCGGCCCACGGAGAGCCGCTTCGCTACGTTGAATGTAAGAGGAGGAATGGATGGTAAGGTAGATGAAGTATGTCACATGATGGATGAACGTTGCATTGATATTCTGTGCGTGAACGAAACCAAGAGGAAAGGATGTGACACCACGGTTCATGGCCCCTACACGGCATACTGGTCGGGAGTCCCCCAAACCAGCCGAGGCTGTCAGGGCGTTGGTGTGATTCTTTCATCTCGAATGGTTGAATGTGTGATGGAGCATGAACGTGTAAGCCCAAGACTCCTCTGGATTAGGTTAAAAGTCGGACTCACTCGCTTGTTTATCCTTGGGGTCTATGCACCGACGGATCTACGTGGAGGTGGGTCATTAAAAACACAACAAGAGAGAGAGGAATTTTGGGATAGCATGAGAGAGGTCTTGAATAAATGAAAAATGAACGGATCGTGATGTTAGGGGACTTTAATGGATGGGTTGGAGTAAATCGTGATGGGTATGAAGGAGTTCTGGGTACGTTTGGGGACGAGAGAGTGAATGACAATGGGAGAAGCCTGCTTGAAGTATGCTTGGAATGGAATCTGTGCGTGACCAACACAATGTTTGACCACAAAAAGATCCATTTGTATACAAGAGATGAGGGTATGTCTAGAAGTATGATTGATTTTGTAATTGTGGATGAAAGACTGAGGAAGAAAGTGCTAGACACTCGGGCATACCGCGGTGTAGGCCTCGACACAGACCACTTCCTGGTCATAGCCCGAATGCGTGGCCTCTTTAAACGGTGGCGACACCGAGTGGCCGAGCCTACGAGTGTTTTGGACAGAGTAAAAGTGGAAAATCTACAAGAAAAAGAAAAGAAAGACGAGTATGTAGAGAAACTGAAAGAAAGTTTTAAAGGGATAGAAGAGATAGGAGTGATTGAAGATTTGTGGGAGATATTTAAGAAAGGGGTCGTAAATGTTGCTATTGAGGTATGCGGGGTAGCTAAAAGAAGGAAGGGAAGAAAGAATGATAACGTGTGGATGGATAAAGATGTACAAAGGGTTGTGCAAGAAAAGAAGAAAGCGTGGTTGGATTGGTTAGCAACAAAAGCTAACCAAAAAGTTCAAAAGGCAACGGATGACGAAATAAAGGAAGCAAGAACGAAGTATAAAAGATTGAAAACAGCAGCGAAAGAAATGGTGTCTAGAAAGAAAGAAGAACGAAAGGATGATTTCAATAGGAGGCTCACTGAAGATTTCCAGTCAACATTAAGTTTTTCTGGAAAACCATCAAAACAGCCAGTGGAAAAACTTCTACCTCGGAGCTGAGTACAATCAGGAGTCAAGATGGGAGCATTATAAAAGGAGAAGAATGTGTGTTAAAGAGATGGAAAGAGTATTTTCAAAGTTTGTTTGAAAGAGAGGAAGTGCAGGTACAGCATCTGCCACCTTCCACGGAAACTAATATAAATATTGATGAAAATGAGATAAGCATGGATGAAATAGTGAAAGCGTTGAAAAGTATGAGATTAGGTAAGGCTGCAGGGTATGACAGGATTACCGTCGAGATGCTGAGGGCTGGACAGGGCCTGGTGGCTAGTCAGCTGTACCGCCTTTTCAATCTGTGCTGGCGAAATGGGCAAGTACCGGGAGACTGGTGCAAAGCCGTAATCGTGCCATTGTATAAGGGAAAAGGGTCACGGCAGGACTGCATAAATTACCGCGGTATAAGCCTTCTCAGCGTCGTCGGTAAATTGTATGCGAAAGTGTTGATTGAAAGGGTTGTGAATGAAACAGACGAGAAAGTATGGGATGCACAAGCGGGATTTAGAAAGGGAATGGGATGTACGGATCAGGTCTTTTCCTTGCGGTGCATAGCCGAAAAGTATTTGGCTAAAAACAAGAAAGTCTACTGCGCGTTCGTAGATCTAGAAAAGGCCTATGATAGAGTGGTGAGGAATGAATTGTGGTCAGCACTGTCCGTGAACGGTGTGAGCAGTATCCTCATACGAGCAATGCAATCTCTTTATAGGGATTCTAGTGCTTGTGTAAGGATAAACGGGGCATACACTGAATGGTTTAATATCGAAAAAGGTGTTAGACAGGGATGTGTAGCGTCACCGTGGCTGTTTAATCTGTTCATGGACATTTGTTTGACAGATTTAAAAGAGAATGAAAGTGGGTTGAGAATGAATGAGTTACTCGTCAAATGTTTTCTCTATGCTGATGACCAAGTATTACTTGCGTCTTCGGCCGAGGAGTTGCAGGAGATGGTAACTGCTATGAGTGGAGCTTTTGTTAGAAAGGGAATGAAGATGAATGTAAGGAAGACGAAAGTGATGGTGTTTGAAAAAGATGAGGCAGTGACAGACTGCAATATTGTGATTGAAGATGAGAAAATTGAACAGGTGAAAGAGTTTGTGTATCTGGGTTCAAAGTTTACAAGAGATGGAAAGTGTGAGAGTGATATCGAAAGAAGAGTGAATGCAGGAAACATGGTGAATGGAGCTTTACACTCCTTTATGAGCAGTCGGAAGGTGTCTAACAAGGCTCGTTTGGCTGTGCATGAGGGGGTGTTGGTTCCGACACTCATGTACGGAAGTGAAACTTGAGTATGGCAGAAGAAACATGAAAGCAGAATAAATGCAGTTGAGATGAGAGCATTAAGAAGTATGATAGGAGTTAAACTGAGTGACAGGATAAGAAATAGTGAGATAAGGAAACGTTGTAGTATGAAAGAAGATGTAGTGACAAAAATTGAGAAAGGTATGCTGAGATGGTTTGGCCATGTCGAGAGAATGAATGAAGAACGATTGACGAAAAAAGTGTATAAGGCGAGTGTGAATGAAAGTGTTGGAAGGGGTAGACCTAGGCGGACATTTCAAGACCAAATCAGGGACGTCTTGAAAAAAGGTCAGGTCAAGAGTACCCTAAACCGTAGAGCATGTATGAAGGGAATAATGAAAGTGGACGAAGCAAAACAAGTATGTAAGGATCGTAGCAAGTGGAAAGAACTGGTTTCTGCCTACCCCTACGGGAAAGAGGCGTGATTATATGTATTATTATTATTATCGGTAATGTGGACTAACAGAGCTGCTATAAAAGAGTTATAGACCGCTAGTCGCTACAATTTTGAAATGTGTGCTAAATACACCAAAAAGCGCTGGATTAAGCGCTAGGTGCTAAAATTTCGAAATGCGCGCTATACATTCCAAAAAAGCGCTAAATCTAGTTCCCAAAGCGCTAAAATAACAGTACTGGTTTTGCGTATATTATAAATACAATATCACGACATTTCGTTGCAAAATTTTTATTTTTGGTCGGGTTCCGTTGTATGGCTTCGATGGATACAAATTTCTTCAGTAAGTCTCAATACGATTCATCGGCGAAAAATCTCAACACAGCAATTCAGAAAAGTTTGTAATTTGTACAACTCCATCCATTACGTCCTATGTGTGAGAAAACATCCTTTTTAAATCTCTTTTTGTGTTTTAAGTATAAATATATTAATTATTATGGAAAGTTTTTTTTACACACAAATCTTTTTATTACTATTTCTGAGATTTTATGGCGCCATTGGACAAATCCGAACCCACATTTCAAAATAATAATAATTACTTTCGATAGAATTAACCAATTTTAATAAAACAAAGATTAAATGTAACTCGAAGATAAGCTTTATGATTTTCTTAACGATTTCTTTGAAAATAAAAGATGTTTACTTTAGACGTGATGCGTTCATATAATAACAGACAAATAGACAGACAGACAATTCTAAAAATTATAAAATGTTCTTATTTAATTATTTTCAGTTCCCCATAATGATTTTAGCCACCAAAATATATAATATACAATGTACAGAAAGAGACACAACATGTTATCATCATTTTTATTATATGTATATATTTAAAGAGAGATGGCGCTGCTAACATCAATTCTAAAAATAAAGAGATTAATTGACGCGATTGATACATTATATAAAACGTAAGAGAACTTATAAATCAGTGCCTGCACAGTAAGCAAAAAATAAAGTTTGACTCTCGCCAAAACCAACGCAATTGTTAATAGCTCTTTTAAAATTTGATTTACCACATAGAGTACTCGGCGGTAAAGAATAAATTGAGTTTGTCAACACGCAGTAGGGCAGCGAGTAATATAATAAAGATTAGCAGTAAATATAAAAACTCATCTACAGGAAAAAACCACATTGCAATTGCATTACATTTTCACAACACCACCATCTATCGAAGAAATGGGTTAACTATTGTGCTTCAGATTTAGTTAATAAGGTTAAAGGTTAATATATTTTTGTATAATATATTTAATACGTTCTTTAATACTTTTGTTTACTGCGTTTTAGATATACATAATTATATCATTATTTTACATAATTTAACTATGATTTATGATATGATATTAGTTTAAAATGCACTTGATGACTCAAACAAAGCCACCGTTGAGCAAATTCGTACCTATACTTCCCTACCCATATACTTCAGAATATTTATCATAACTTTTGATGGAATGAACTGATTTTAATGAAATAAAGACTAAATGTAACCCGAAGATACACTTTAGAATTTCCTTAACAATTCTTATGATATAAATTAGTACTTAATACGTGATACGTTAACAAACAAACAGACAGACAGAAAATTCTAAAAATGGTAGAAATGTATTTAATTACTTATTTTTAGTACCCCTCAATCACTTTTATTACAAAAATATAAAATGTACAGACATCTGCTATTTACAGTTTTATTATATGTATAGATATTTTTTTTAAATTCCAGCAAGTGATCATGCCAATCCTCACATTGGGCGTCTTCACATACATGTCGAACAACCCGCACTACGATGTGAAACGCAACTCTGTTGCATTGATGGATTTGAACATGTATGAGGATTTGCCGGAGCGACGCGTGCTGTACAACATCAACACCTCCGACACCGCTCTGAGAACTCTCACCGACCATTATAAGGACGTCGTCTTCGAGAAAACAGACGATGTTGTCGCTTGTGAGTTATTAAAACTCTTTTCTACCGACTTCAAAATGGAGACGGTACTCATTTCGACTGCATGTTTTTTTTTAGTATTACCTCATAAATTTTTTTTCGGGGTGTACCAATTTCGATGATTCTTTTTTTATTTGAAAGCTGTTGCTCCTCATGTGGTCCCATATAATTTGATCAAGGTTTGACCAATAGTTTTTGAGCTATTCTTAATAATTTATATTGAAGTCGATTGTATAAATTTTGTTTTAAATTTTGAATTGTTGAAAACATACTGTTGGTTTCTGTTCCTCCTCCTCGTGTTGGGCTATTATAACTATCACTCAGATCAGCAAAGAAAAATTGGTGGAGCGCTACGTGCATTTCAAGTGATACAACTTTGTGTCACGGACTTCTTTCTTTATTTATAAGCCCGTAGTGTAGGTGCATATGTGTGCCCCACTGCTGCACACGGATAATCCTATAAGGCAACGTATGGGGGAGGCCTATGTTCAGCTGTGAACTTTTATAGGCTGTAATGGATGAATGGATAACTTTTTAAGATTAAATCTTGAAACTCCCAACTCATTCGTTTAGATTCACCTAGAACTTGACTTCTTTTTAAAAAGAAGTATACTTCTTTTTTAACCATTCCCACACCATAGCGTTTATAAAAGGAAGTCGCTGGATCATACTTCTTGGTTATTGACATTAAAGAATAAAAATAATAAGTAAATTGTTTTTCAGCCTTACTTGCCTACGGTAAAAAGGACATCGTAGAATACAACAAATATTTAGTTGGGATTGAACTCAACGATACGGACGCAAAGGTAAGATTAGTTTGTTTTTTTTTGTTTCTGAATTATCATTAAGAAATCGATAATATATACATGTCTAATTTAACGCGTAATCACATCGTTTTTTTTTTTTAGTAATATAATATAATGGCAGACCATGTAGTGGTGGTGACAAGCATCCATATTACCTGTGGGTGTCATAGCACGCGACAGCGGGAAACAAACCAGCAGATGGGTAGCAATAACAACTAATATATATATATATATATATATATATATATATATATATATATATATATATATATATATATATATATATATTTAGTTGTTATTGCTATATTATATACATATATACGAGGGTGGATTGAAAAGTACTCGGCCTAACACAGATCCATTCAATTCTAAAAATTAAATCTACCCACATTATTTAGTTCAGTTCAGACTAGTTCATTGTGTGAAGTTCGAAACGTGTGCGATAATTAGTTGTGATTTTATAAATTTATTAACAAAGTAATCGGACATAATTTCCGCGAATGGAGCAAATCGAGCAGCGTGCCGTCATTAAGTACCTCCATAAGAAGGGGCTATCATCAAAAGCCATCCATGATGACATGGTCAGTACATTAGGCCATTGTGCTCTGTCATATTCATCCGTCAAAAAATGGATAGCAGAATTTAAGCGTGGTAGAGAGAGTGTGAAAGATGAACCTCGCTCTGGAAGGCCTTCGACGTCAACTACTGACGAAAATATTAAAAAAGTACTTGATTTAATAATGGGAGACCGCAGATTAAAAATTAGAGAGATAGCCGAGATTATAGGCATCTCTTATGAACGAACTCAAAACATCATTGTCAACGAGTTGGGTTTCCACAAGGTGTCTGCGAGGTGGGTTCCGCGACTGCTTTCAGTTGAACAAAAAAGGACGCGATTGACTATTTCACGCGACTGTTTGGAGTTATTTGAAGCCGATGCAGATGATTTTTTGAATCGTTTTGTTACTATGGACGAAACATGGGTTCATTACTGTACACCGGAAACAAAACAACAATCAAAACAGTGGAGAAGACCTGGTTCACCACCCCCTAAAAAGGCTAAGTCGATTTTGTCGGCAAATAAGGTGATGGCTTCAGTATTCTGGGACTCGAAAGGTGTGATTATGATTGATTATCTTGAAAGGGGTCAGAATGTAAACTCTGATTACTACTGCACCTTACTACGTCGTTTACGAGAGGAAATAAAAGAAAAACGTCGAGGAATGCTCAGAAGAAAAGTCCTGTTTCATCAAGATAACGCCCGTGTTCACACGTCAGTACAGTCAATGGCTGAAATTCACAACTGTGGCTTTGAACTGTTACCGCATCCGCCGTATTCACCTGATCTGGCACCATCAGACTTCTTTCTGTTCCCTAACCTAAAAAAGCACTTGGGAGGTCAAAGATTTTCGACAAACGACGAGGTCAAAGCATCTGTAGACGCATATTTTGACTCTAAGGAAGAATCATTTTTTTTCAACGGTCTAAATGCTTGGAAGGGGAGGTGGCAAAAGTGTATTGAACTTGATGGTGATTATGTAGAAAAATAAAAATATAACTGATTTAGTATTTGTTTATTTTCTTGGTTAGGCCGAGTACTTTTCAATCCACCCTCGTACATATATATGATGCGTTGTCACCCGTGAGGATTAAGATGGAATGCCTCTTTTCCAGTAAAAAGGGTCTCCGGTTCTCTACACGCACCATATGAAACACATCAGTGTTAAGCTGCTATTTTACGTTGGTATTCTGTTAGAGCGTGATCCTTCCCCGCTCGAGCCAACCCATTCGTGCTACAATTATACTACTAATATAGCTGCAGCATGGCTCTACCACGTAAAAATATTCAGAAGTCCACCTATTAATAGGCTGTAATGATAATGATGATGAAGATTGTGTACTATTGGTAATTTAACCGAGGATGATCATAACGGATTACTAAGCAGAAGTGGCAATGAGTCGGATATGTAGCTCGATAAACCGAGAACCCATGACGAAGAAAGGTTCTCGATTGGCAACCTCGTAACGGTAAGCAAAGTGTAGGATAGCACCCTATTATATGGAGTGACTACTTGGTAAGATATGCAGGTGGCTTAGGACCTTACTTCAGTCTGGGGGGAGGCCAGTTCAGCAGCGGACTTGTGAAGGGTAATGAATGAAGAATGAATTCAATTTCTACATCACGAATAACTTTCATTAGATTCAAAGTTAGTGTGGATGCAGATTTTAATGATGTACCGAAGAATATGGATTTTCCCATGTTACAAGAAGTCGAGGGTGGTTTTTTTTTTTGCCGAAGTTGAAGCTTCGGTCAGACACTAGTACCGCGGGACCTATAGGCATTGTTTTCGCCTTTCTGTTTACCCGAGGCTGGCGATGTACGTAGGGGCTATTCACGACGCGCGTGCGACACTATACACTGGCGGCTCTGAGCCTGCTGTACGAAGTGCAGGACGGCCTATACACGCCGCGGTCTTACGCGCATCCTTCTTTATCACGTGTTATTGCTTTCTTTATAAGAACGTTTACCTCCTTCGTCTTTTTGCCTTTTCTAAGTTCCTATATCACATATTAATGCTTTATAAGACTGTGGGGTTCATAGTCATTCCCTTCGCCTTAATGTTTTTCTTATGCATAATCGAACAGTACACATCATCATCATCATCATCATTACAGCCCTTCACAAGTCCACTGCTGAACATAGGCCTCCCCCAAAGAATGCCACAAAGCACGGTCCTGAGCCACCTGCATCCATCGACTTCCTGCATATCTTACCAGGTCGTCACTCCATCTAGTGGGGGGACGCCCTACACTTCGCCTGCCGGTACGAGGCTGCCACTCGAGAACCTTTCTTCCCCATCGGTTGTCGGTTCTTCGAGCTATATGGCCGGCCCATTGCTACTTCAGCTTACTAATCCGTTGGGCTATGTCGGTCACTCTAGTTCTACTGCGGATATCCTCATTTCTGAGTTTATCACGCAGAGAAACTCCGAGCATAGCCCTCTCCATAGCTCGCTGAGCGACCTTGAGCTTCCTCATCCGGCCAGCAGTGAAGGACCACGTCTCAGTTCCGTATGTCATCACTGGCAACACGCACTGGGTGTACAGTCTCGTTTTCAAGTTTTGAGGTATACCTGACGAGAAGATGTGCCGTAATTTCCCGAACGCTGCCCAACCGAGTTGAATCCGTCGATTGACCTCTCGGTCGAAGTTGGACTTACCTAGTCGGACTATTTGTCCCAGGTAAACATACTCGTCAACAACTTCGAGCTTAGTGTTCCCAACAACTACCGGCATAGGTGTGACATGGACATTAAACATGATCTTTGTTTTGTCCATGTTCATCTTAAGACCTATCCGTTGGGAAACACTATTGAGGTCATTGAGCATAGTGCTTAGGTCCTCCAGCGATTCTGCCATAAGGACTATATCGTCGGCAAATAGAAGGTGAGTGATGTACTCGCCATTGATGTTGATACCGTATCCTTTCCAGTCCAGAAGCTTGAAAACATCTTCCAATGCAGCGGTAAAGAGTTTCGGGGATATGACGTCACCCTGTCTTACACCTCTCTGCAATTGGATAGGTTTCGTACTCTGGTTCTGTACTCGGATAGCCATCGTAGCCCTACTGTACAAGCACTTCAACACTTCGATATACCGACAGTCAACTTGGCATCGCTGAAGGGACTGCAGCACCGCCCAAATTTCGACGGAATCAAAGGCTTTCTCATAGTCCACATACGCCAGACATAGTGGCAAATTGTACTCCTCGGACTTCTGTACAATTTGCCGAAGGGTATGTATGTGGTCTATGGTGCTAAAGCCTTTTCGGAAACCGGCTTGTTCGGGAGGCTGGAAGTCGTCAAGTCTGCGCGCGAGACGATTCGTAATGACTCTCGAAAACAGCACGTAGACGCGGCTCAGAAGGGAAATCGGTCTGTAGTTCTTCAAGAGAGCGTTGTCGCCTTTCTTGAAGAACAAGACCACCGCACTTCTGCTCCACGCCTCCGGTGTAATGCCACCATGGAGGACGGAATTAAAGAGCTTCTGAAGGACTTCAAGTACCGGTTTTCCACCCGCTTTCAGAAGCTCCGCTGTAATTCCATCCTCGCCTGGGGCCTTGCCGTTTTTAAGGTGCTGGAGAGCCATTCTAATCTCGCTCAGACTGACGTCCGGGATATCATCGGAATAATGTCGGATAAGACTCGCTCTTGGATTGTTACTCACACTTGCGTGCGGCTCCAACGATGACGTGTACAGCTGCCCATAGAACCTCTCAATCTCACTCAAAATCTCAGGTGCCCCGGAAACGATGCTGCCACATTCTGTCTTCAGCTTTGACAGTTGGCGCTTTCTGGCAGACAGATCTCTGGCAAAGACTTTGGAGCCTTGGTTCCGCTCGATCGCTTCTTCAATACGAGCTGTATTGAAGTTGCGTAAGTCCCGCCGCATGCATTTGGAGATCTGTCTGTTCAGTTGCCTGTATGCTGTTAAATCTGTTGAAGAATGTAGCTTCATCTCCCGTCTAACAGCCATGAGATTAAGAGTGTGATTGGAGAGTTTTTGTGTTCTTCTGCGGCGGGTCTTGCAGAACTTAGCTCCGACCGCATGGACAGTTTCCACGAGCTTGTCATTCAAATCGTCCACTTCATTGCAGTCTTCTAGGCACTGAAAACGGTTTTGTAACTCGAGCTGAAAGGTTTCGGGACTTTGGATTAGAGCACGAGGGGGACGGAGCGTTGACTTCATTAGACGAGACCTCTCCAACTTAACGTTTAGGTTCAGTGTGCCTCTAACCATTCGGTGATCGCTGCCGGTTTTCACCCTCGCGATCACTGAGACATCACGGAACAGTTGTCGTCTGGTCGTCATAATGAAGTCAATCTCATTTTTTGTCGAACCGTCGGGGCTCGACCAGGTCCACTTCCTGTGGGGCCGCTTCTGGAAGAAAGAGTTCATCATAAAGAGTCCCTCTTTCTCCATGAAGTCAGCCAACTGCTGGCCCCTTGGGTTCCGTTGCCCTATTCCAAATTTCCCTACTTTCAGCTCACCGTTCTCTCTTGTGCCTAGTTTTGCATTGAAGTCTCCCATTAACACCGTATATTGGGTTTTGGAGGAATGCATGGCTCTAGATATATCCTCATACATTTCCTCCACCTCCTGATCGGGGTGTGCCGAGGTTGGTGCGTAAACCTGTATGACCTTCAGCGAATACCGTTTGGTGATTCTGAGTATAAGGTACGCAACCCTCGTCGACACACTCTCAATCTTTACAACGTTGTTAACGAGAGACTTGTGGACGATAAATCCGACACCTCCTTGGGACAGATGGTCGCCCTCCCGGTAATAGAGCAAGTTGCCGGATTCGAGGATTACCGTGTCCTCCCCCTCTCTTCGGACTTCGGATAATCCTATAATATGCCAGCGTAACTTGTCTATCTCTTCTTCCAGCTCTACAATCTTCTCGTCAGTCCTCAGGTTGCGTGCGTTGTATGTTGCCAGGTCGAGTCGTCGTAGGTGGCAACCGAACCTCCACCGGAGATTCTTAGCACCCCCTGCCCCGCCGTTACCGTGGTCGCCACCGTAGCCAGGAATAGCGGGGCCGCCGGGGACTAGGGGCCGTTTATTATTGTCATTGCTCATGGGGGGTATATTGCCATAGTTGCCACGCTTGGCGAGCGGGTTGGCAACCGCAGTTTTTTTTATTGTTATTTTGGCTATTATCAGGAAGATGCTGCTGCCCATCTCCTGCCTGTTTCCCTTTTCACCTTTTACGACACCCATGGGAAGTTATGGGGTAGTGGATATTCTTAACCGCCACTACACGGCAGTACACATTGAAATGAAACTAAATTTTACGGATTTTATTGCGTATATTGAATTATTTTCTATTCTCGACGCTTCGAGTACTTTACAGCAATCCATGGTGTGGGGGGGGGGCTGAGGTGTTTGAAGTTCCCAGCGTTATAGTGAAGCACGGCTAGGTTCAGTTTAAAATATTCCGTTCGCTTAGTTTTTTTTTTTTTAAGATAGTAATGCTATTAAACATTACTAATATTCCCTTTAATCACTTCTGGTAAGCTTAAAATGCTTGTTAGAAGTGGTTCACGACAGTAGTCGAATAGCGGATTCGAACCCACGACCTTTCGAGTTCGCGGTCCACGCCCTGCCATTAGGCTACTGACGCTTAGTTAACTCGGGGCTGGTGATACCGCAGGTGCTGTTCACGACACGCGTGCGGCACGCGGCGCCGGCGGCGCTGAGCCTGCTGCGCGAGGCGCTGGCCGCCCGCCTGGCGCCCCGCTCGTTGTTCTCGGGGCAGCTCGGCGCGCTCGCCACCTACAACCAGCCGCTCGCCGACCCCACGCTCGACAACTCGCTCCCCGACCAAACGGTGCAGCCGAAGGACACCGTCATGGCTGCCATGTGGGCCACTGTCGTTGTCTTTGGTAACTTGTTTTTTTTTATTATTGAATAGGGTGATAAACGAACACAGTCCACCTGATAGTAATTGGTTGCTGTGACCTGTAGACATCTACATATATCCTCAATAAAGAATGAAAATGCAGATGCGTTGTCACCCTTTTAGAAAAGAAATTTCTTATATTCTTACAAAAATACTTTCGGAAGACTTTACATACTAAATATCACAAAAATATATTAGAAACCAAAATTATTAAATACCAAACGTATAAATTGACGAGCTTCACACATTCTATATTAAAATTTCCTCACTACGTTAATAAAATAATTTAATGGATGCCATGGGGCACAGGACTAAGATTACTCACATACACTGAGTCCTTGTGCTGCCAAAGATGTGCTTTACGCTTGAAAAAGTATGTAGGTATTGAGATATCTGAGTGCCATCAGCCCCTACTGAAATTTCCGAAATTTGCTCCATCTTATACAATAAATGATATACACCAATGTTGATAAATTAAGCTATCATATTTTAAAGTAATTAAAATTTAGATATCACTCAAAGTCTATGAAATATGGAAATACTTCCGATTTTGGTTTTTTTACTCTATTACGGGAACGTGGGAAAATTCTTGAAATAAGTATGTACGAAGACCACACAAGATAACAAGCAAATCACAGAAAGCCTTATGTCTTATTAATTAATTAATTAGTATTTTGTCAAGAGTAATAAATCTCTATATTCCTTCTCATAATATATGAAATTCGGACAGTTTTGTCTGTAGAGACAAATGTAAAGTAATTTGTGATTATTTCAAATCTAACTTTCTTCACAATTCCGACACCATTAATTTTAATAATATTGCATGTCAATCTTGCTCAATTCTTTTTTAATTGACAATCCAAAAAAATTTGGAAGAGTTATATTGTTTAATTAGGAATGATAATACATTCATTGAAGTTGAATGATATATTACTTTCAAAGGAATTCGTCGATAAAATACGCGCGCCACCTACTGTAAGTTAAGTGTAGTATGCCTATAACCTTCGTGCAAGTGTAGGCAATAAGTTGACAATATTTTACCGCAATCTGATGAACGGTATGGCAGCGCATAAAATACAAACATACATTATTTTTTAAATATCAGATTACACAAAACTGCTGCTCGATACTCACGTTGATGATATATTGTTACAAAGGCTAACAAAGCGCTGGGTTTTATATTAAGGCTATCAGCTGATTTTAAAATGATAGAAACTTTCAAAATTCTATATTGCGCTTTTGTACGTAGCATAATAAAATTTAACAGAAGAACACTCAACAAAAGAATTTTTTCGCTAAAATATTTTTGATTCGAGAAACACTGGTATTAAATAGGTCCAAGTCAACGCTATTAGAAATCTCATTAAAAGTGCTGCATTTACGTAGGTATAATAAATAGTATATTTCATTACGAGTGCGGAAAGCCTGTCATTGCAAAGAGTTCCGACAAATGTCCACCCGAGCCAAGGCGCAGCTGAAGGTGAGGGTTGACAGTCGGAACAAGTTGCAATGACGGTTCCGCACGTGTACTAAACAACTATTTTTAAAACAGTTGCGAAAAAATGAAGCAATTTAATAAAGAACATTTTTGGAAAATGGCGCCAACCGTATAAGAATATAAGCAGAGATTTTTTTTTGTTTTCTTCACCCGTTCTGGGTAGGCAAAGGGAACTATGCCCATCCAGCCAAGTCTTCAGTAGAATTTTTTTATTGATATGAAATGAAAATGAAAAATCTGATATTGAAACAAATTAGTAGCTTCTTTTTAGAAATATTTGCATGAATCATAAAAATTTCTACAAATTTTTTTTTAGTAAAAACTTCGTGGTTGGTTTTTTCTTTTTAATAGACATTATTTTGACAGTTGGGAAAGAGAACGCACGCGTTCTGAAAAGGTAAAGAAAAAGCACGAGTATGTATTAGCCCACATCCCGAACGCTATACGTCCCTGCAATACACCACTTTGAGCAAAAAGTGTATTAAAATGAATTTTGCCTGTATTTAGTCCGGGTTTGCGGCACGTGGAGTAAGTGAGGCTTTCTTAACTCGTTCGCTGTCCCGTGTACTACATATAGGTCATTGCTATTGTCTTATTACTCTTGTTGTAAAGCCTAACTTACCCAACATTTCCGGACAGTCAACATTACCATTTGCCAATTTAAAAAGATTAATCATATCTGATACGAACGTAGAGTTCGTACAGAGGGAAAATATGAAATTTTTTATAACATGAAATGTAATTATTATTGTAAAGTTGCGTATAGTTTGTAGTAGTGGTTATACTATAATTACTATTTATAAGTACTTATGTTGTTGATCGTGTAGTATCGGTGTAAGAATATCCACTGGTTACTCCGTATCGTCTCGTGGGCGTCGTAAGTTACTACAAAGGGAAACATGCTGGCAGATGGGCACCAGCGTCTTCCTGATAAAAACTTAAAATTATGAAACAGCTGCGGATGAGAACGCGCCTGCTAAGCGTGACAATTGTAGCAAAATCCCCCTTATGAGGCATTCTACGGGGGATTCCTATGTTCAGGAGTGGACATTTATAGACTGTAATAGATGAATGTTGAGATTGTGCTATCGGTTGCAGTGGTCCTGGCGACGAACATCAACTTGGTGTCGCTGCCTTGCAAGGAGCGGCGGTCGGGCGCGCGGCGCCTGCACGTGCTGGCGGGCTGCGGCGGCGCGCTGCACTGGGCCGCCACGCTGCTGGCGCACGCCGCGCTGTGCGTGCTGACGCTGCTGCTGCCCGCGCTGCTGCTGGCCGCCTGCCTCGATGCCGAGGCCACGCTCTCGCAGCCGGACCTGCTCGGTGAGTGTGTGCGAGTGTGAGTGTGAGCTGCACTGGGCCGCCACGCCGCGAAAAGAATTCAAAATACGTCTCGTTGACACGTAAACTAACAAACCAGCCAACACACAAAAAAGGGCACTTAACGCGACGGCACAATTAGAATGATTTCCAGACAATCAACCGGGAGACGCTCTCGACCTAGGAATACGCGGTTCGAATCCTAGACCGTATATGTACTCGGCGCGTGCACAATTTCGCATCAGTCGAACAAGTTAAATATTGCAAAATTCACATATCCACGTAGCGAAGTAACACGCACTAAATGTAACTATCTGGACCCTACACGGTCGCGTGAACTTCGGCCGCGATAATCGAGAAACGCGGATTCACCGCATCGCGGCCAGCGAGCTACTCTCTCTCGCCCACGAGCGTCACACGCTGGGAAGCTGCCTACCGCTCCCCCTCCCCTCGATGCGCGTGACACCTGGTGCCATCGTGCGACTCACGAAGTCGAACGTGATTGGATTTCGTACAAATTACCTTTTTTGGGCCTAAACAAGTATGTTATTAAAACATTTTTTTTTCTATATAGTTCCTCAAACTCTAATTGTTACATCGATTTATAAGGTCTCTATTCTTATGTACTAATATTTCTTTTCCTTTGTAGTCTATTTTTAAATTTGTAAAAAAATGTATCCTGTATGAAATTAAAAATCATGCGCCTGTGGCCGACAGTTTTGTAGTCACCAATAAGCTCTTACTAACTTTACCTATACCTTAGTACACAATTCAATTTTACAGCACCAGCCCTTATATAGCAGCAATACCTAATGTACGATAGAATTTGCTCTTTAGTAATCGTAATATGTATCATAATACAATTTTTTTATATTCCAGGCACTATGTTCGTGGTGCTGCTCCTGGGCAGTCTCTCCTTCTTCTCGTTTATGTACCTGGTGAGCTTTTACTTTGGCGAGCGTGGCTCCAGCACAGTACTCGTCGGCTGCATTATTATATTTGGTAAGTTGGTTTTCCGATCATTACACTATTTATTTAAAGAACCTAAGTGGTGAGTACTATACATGCACGATATAATCGAACTGTCATCTTAAAATTTCACTTTTACTTTGCACTAAATTCAAGTGCTTTAGGGAGAAGTTAAACTGTAAAACATCATAGAATCATAAAATAAATATGTATATTTTTTATATAGAATAAGTGTGACTAACAAACACAATCCACCTGAGGGAAAGTGGATGCTGTGGCACATAGCCACCTACATTCATTCTCAATTAAGAATTAAAATACACATGCGTTGTAACCCCTGCGAACTGAGATGGAATGCTTCGTTTCCAGTAAAAAATGTCTCCGGTTTTCTACACTCACGATACCAAATACAGCAACATTAAACTGCTATTTTACGCTGGTGTTCTGTGAGGGCGTGGTTGGTTAATACCCCGGCGAAGTGACCCATTCGTTCTACCACCGTAACATAGCTACAGCATGGCGCCACCACGTACTATAATAAAACATTTACGCCGTGTATTCACCAGATTTGAGACAAATATAAATACACAATTAACATATGGAATAATGGCAAGGACGAGTAATGTCAGACTTGCACCATGTTCATATAATGGTGTTTTACTTTTGCCTCGTGTTGGTAGGGTCACAGGAATGCTCTTGAACACATCCGTGACCTCGTTAGGCCCGGCCGCCGCTTCTCGGGAGAGGACAAATCCTCCCCCTCTTTCTTAGGCAAGGTGCATCAATAAGGTGCGCCTTCTTCCGTGGCCTCTAATTCCACCTGCGCAACAGACCGGCGACGTGAGTACCGATTCGTGAAGGCCTTGGGGCCAGACAAAGCGAGCTTTCGGATGCTCCCAGCGACGAATCTGGTCTATAAACAAGTTTAAGCCTCAGTGGGTAGGGAGAGTGGCGATTCGACATACCGCCACTCCTCTCTATCCGTGGCCTCCACTAACACTCCACCAACAATACAGTCCCACCAGAGTCGCGGAAGATAGGACAAGTGACACCGTACAAACACTCCTGCACTTCTGCGACTCCACCTTGGATGCGGTTGGTGTGGGGAGAGGACACCCTCCCGCTACAATTCACCAACATGGCTCTTATGGGTCAGCCATATGGGTTCCTGTTAGGTCACCGCGAGCGACAAAGCCACGGCTGTTAAGCTTCCCCTGCTACAACAAGAAGGGAACTCGTTTGGAGGCGGGGGTCATACCACATTGCCTCCCTCCACCTTTGTATCCTTTATGAAATTTTTGAATAATTAAATATGAAAATATTTGTTGCCCGCAGGTTTCCTCACAACCTCAATGAAGACAGTTGACGACATTTTCAAAGGCAACCAGGACAAAGATTTCTCGCACTACATTCTGACCTTGTGCGGCTACATCGCTCCGCCGCATACATTGACTATTGCAGCTATGAAGACCGTCAACGTGGCGCGACTGAACGCGTATTGTACACTCAACAAGCATAAATGCCCTCGTCTGTTCGTGCCCGACGAAGGATTCGACACGAATACATGTTGTAGTGAGTTAAATATTCCTTATCTCGAAGCGATTATATTTAAAACTAGCGACGCGCCCCGGCATCATTAAAGCTGCTATTTTACGCTGGTATTCAAGAGTTTTTAAATCTTTTCAAGTTTTTAAATCTTGTTGCAGTATTGGACAGCAACCCGAGATGCTACTTCTGTATAGACAACTACTCACCTGGAGAGTCGATGCTGATTATGTTCTTTCAATTCGTCGTTTACATGGTGAGTATGTCCGCAATAGAACCAGATTGACCAACATACACCAATATTCAACATAGTCCAACGGAATAGTGAACTGGAAAGAAGGAGATTGCTGCTGCCCAACTTTTGGTTTTATTTTTCTGTTATTAACACATCAAACTTAATGAAATCTAGCTTTAGTTCACTCGGAGAAAACAGAAGTTTATTCTGTAAATCCGGCTGTTCCACATCGGTCGCCGCCGTGACAAATATGTAGAGCCCGCCAAAGAGTATAGAATATTTAGAAGGGACCCCTCCGAACCAAAGAGTATATAATCACTATGTTTTTTTAATGTTATTCACCCGAATTATACTACTTAAATTCTAAAAATGTTATTAGAATTAGTTTCGTTACAAAATTTCGCTTCTCTAAATTAAGAGAATGTACTGAAGTACACAATGACGAGTTTCCGTATACTTCAGTTCCGTATATTTCCTTCGCTGCGTGAGTACAAGAGGCAAACTTTAAAAAATTGAGTAGGTACAAAAGAAAGTTTGTTGTTAGTTTTTTATATCAAAGGTAAGTAATTACATTGTTTTTAGAAGTTATTTGCTTATATTTTGTCTCGTAACATTTTATACACTATATACAATTTGCATTTCAAATATTGTGTCGTTCACGTATGAAATAAAGTAGTCAGAAGTAACTGAAAATGAGTTATCACTATAAATCATGAAAAAAACAAAAATTTTCATATTGCACAAAGGCCAATGTGCGATTATATATTGCGATTATTTGTTTTCAACAAAAACTGGCGATGTACGTGTCGGGCCACGCACAATGTAGATGTAGGATTCCGTAGTTACCCGTCGTAATACGTGAGCTTTCTTGATAATTAGCATAACAAGTGTGTTCGCGGTTATTTTTTTAAATCTTATTGATTATAGAGGATTTGATCCACTAGTTCATGTCACCCTCATAGGTACACAGTCAAGTACACATAATCAGACAATAATAAATTCACGTAAACAATAATAAAAAGTTATCTGTTCTTAATACCTAACAATACAAGTTTATAAAGTTTTCTAGCCTTATCCGACAACGGAAAAGCTAAGATGCTTTCCGTTGTCGGATAGCAACAACGGAAAGCATCTTAGCTTAAATTTTGGATTGTATAATATCCAATCCAAAATCAAATATTGGATTGGATATTATACAATCCAACACTATTTTTGTCAAAACCTAATAGATTTCTATTTGATTCTTTCCGTTCACATTCCATCATAATATGAATAGTATCTTCGAGAAGAGTTCGCGGTTTCACCGCTATAACGACTAAAAATGGGTCCAAATAGGAAGATCGTATCTGAAGGACTTATTTCCAAATCAGCCTTATAGAGTGTGGTATTCAAAAAATATTTAAATATAATATTTGAGAGAACTTTTCGATTTTTATAATAATACCCTATCTATCTCGCAAATGAGAAAGTGAAATTTTCGGTGTATTCGGCAGCCTTGTATGAATAAATTATTACTAAATAGAGACTGCTTCACTCAGTTAGTTCGACGTCAATCGCCGTCGTGAGTGGACATTGTTACGGTTGTTTGCAGCGGCTCAAAAAAGATCGCTGTACAAATACACAATATTCGAATAACCAAATTTCTTAAATACTTGATTATAACAATAAAAAGATTTTTTTATTACAATATTTTAAAAGCACAGAATAAATAATAGTAGTACGTACTAAAAGTAAGTAGTATCAATTTTTTCGTCATGGGTATCATTTTCATGGTTTTCGAAAGTGTTGAAGCCGATAGGGTAGTCGAAATGTTAATCCAAGATAGCGGCTGCAATAGGTATCAATTTTTTCATCATGTGTGTCATTCTCATGGTTTTCGCGGGTATTGAAGCCGATAGTGCTGTCGAAATGTAAATCCAAGGTGGCGGTTGCAATAGGTATCAATTTTTTCATCATGGGTGTCATTTTCGTGGGTTTCGAGGGTGTTGAAGCCGATAGTGCTGTCGAAATGTAAATCCAAGATGGCGGCTTCAATAGGTATCAATTTTTTCATCATGGGTGTCATTTTCATGGTTTTCGAGGGTGTTGAAGTCGATAGTGCTGTTGAAATGTATTTAAACTACTTTTAAAAATCCCGTATAATCATGTTATACGTAATGTTTTAATGCGCTTAGGGCATGCCCAATTGAATTTACCAAATGTAGTAAAATTAATTGGCAAAATGACACGACGTTATTTTTACCTTTATTTAAAAAAATATATTGTCCTTGGCCTAACCATAGGTCTGACTAAGTTAGTGCAATACACTGTCGGCCCCTGAGAGGTTAAGAAGTTAACACTTTTCAAACAAATTTAAATTTGAGAGTGTTTTACATCTGGCATATATTAGTTCTTTCTGGCCTTTCCCATAATTGCTCCATGATACCAACAGGATGCAATACCATCAGCATCGGCATCGGGGCGTCAGTTAACTTATCTCGAAGACATGTTATAGTGTGTAGTCGACAATACAACATATATTTATATGTGTTAGAGCCAGGCTAAATCTATATTATGGTTTTAGCAGGAATTAGTTGGCTCGACCGGGGAATAACCACGCCCACACGGAAAACCGGCATGAAATAGCGACTTAATGCTTCCGTGTTTCTAATGGTGAGTGTAGAGAACTGGAGACCCTTTTTACTGGAAACGAGGTATTCCGTCTCGACCCTCAAGGATGATAGGGGTTAAGCATCTACATTGACCATCAGATAGACTGTCTGCTGGTGTGTCCCCATACTCAAAAAAAAATCGATTTTGATCCACAGACGCTGGTGATTCTGACGCAGAACGGTGTGTTTAACCGCCTTGCAGACCGCTTGTTCAATCAACGCTACTCTCCAAAATATAAAGACGATGCCGATGAAATGGTGCGCGCTGAGAAGACATACGTCAGCCAAGCGATCACTCTGCGTGAGTCCAAACGAGTATAATAATGCATGTATGATAAACTAGTCTTTCAATACTAATATTCTGGAAACAAGGCATTCCATCTTAGTCCAAAGGTATCTGTGTTTTGAACTTAATCGAAGATAGACGTAGATATCTATAGGTCACAGCATCCACTTACCATCATGTGGACTGTGTGTTTGTTTGTATAAAAATCCTTATTCTATAAAGAAAATCACCTACTCGAGTTGCACTTACGAACGAAGCTCTGGTAACCGAAAAATGGCCGTATATTTATTTATTTAAAACTTCATATACACACGTGGTCGGAAAAGTTGAACCCAAACCCAGTCATCACCAGTCTACTAGATGGTGTGAAGTGCATAAATATGAGTATCGATCGACTTTAGAGAGGCTGATAAAGACAATAAGGAAGGTTGAATTTTTAAAATAAATGTTACGTTCGCGGAGAATCTTAATGTCGCTTACGTCTTTCTTCAAACGTCGTTCAAATCGACTTTTTCATAGTGGCGCGTAGCACTTGTTGATTTTAGTTGGTCGTTCGCTTTGTCTACTCGATTGTGCTGGTGTTCGCTTTTTATAATCCGTGAGTAATTGATAGAATATTCTACTGTAATCTAGTTTATTCCAACATTTTTCTCTTTTAATGCAAAACGAATCATGATAACTATCTACTATAGGTCCAAGGAAGGAGACCTTGCTTTTGGAACACAAAGTTACGTTTCACTTGTACTATTCTATCGCATCCATTTTTATCCAACCTTTAAAGGCTATTAAAGTTCACTGCTGAACACAGGCCTCCTCCATAGAGTTTTCCATTTCTGCCGCACTTTGAAGGCGTATTAGTTTCCCTCTGCCGGCTCTTACAACACTCATATAAAGATTTGAAGTAGTGGATATTTTTACATAGCCACTGCACGGTACTGTTTTTGCACACATACAACAAATGTTATTTTGATATTGATCCTTATACTTAACTCATAAGAGTTCTATTTCCAGTACATCGTTGTTAATGCTGTCATAACCTTAAATCAACAAAAAATGGACTGAGCGCTGCGCTGTAAGTGATGCCATAACCATACTCAACCAGTGCACTCACGCACACATCTTTCTTCTTTATTTCTTTGTCACCCGGTTAAAGTTCACTGTTAAACACACACATATTATGCACCTAAAACCATGTTGTTGGTTGCAAATTATTTTTGATGCCTATATTATGTACGTGAGTGCGTGTTCTTATAATAAGTTGAGCATGGCTTCGGCTTGGTTTTTGCGTCACATAAAATTTACGCAGCGCTCCGTCTTTTCATCACAGTTAGTCTGAGGTCATGTTACTGTTTTTCTGGAAGGTTCTCATGTAAATGTGTAACCTATAGCTGACTTTCGTAACAATAAATGCATTAGTTTAACTTACTATACATACCTGGATTTCGTATGTAAGTAATAGGTTATAGCATAAATAGGTTATGTTAAGGTTGTTGAACCCCAAGTTCCGGAAAAATCCTGTGAACCATGTCCAAGCTTTGAGATTTACCTAGATACCTAGATATCAAAAACTTTAGTAGTATTTATTGTGGTGCTAGCTTTATCAATGTGTTTATTTCAGCCCCGAATCAGATCCAGGAAGCGATGCTCGTGGACGACATCCATAAGAACTATGTGCAGTTGTTCAAGAAATCGTGCAACGCCGTTAAGGGTGTCAGTTTCTCCGTCAAAAACGGTAAGGCACTTCATTAGAAACGAAAAAAAAGATAATGCTTGATTGTGTCCGAACTTTTTTATTAAATAGGAACTTTTTTTATTATATAATTCAGTATAATAAAATAATTCAGCGATTTTAGAAAAAAAAATCATCTAGAAGAATCATCTAAAATTTTCGTAGTGGAGATTATTTTCTTTGCTTTTTCTCTGAAGTTGGTTTTAACTATTTATGAAAGGTTTAATTTTGTTATTTCAAAACTCAATTCATTGATAACAAATCTTTCCAATTCCAAGGAGAATGCTTCGGGCTGCTGGGCGTTAACGGCGCCGGAAAATCAACGACCTTCAAGATGCTAACTGCAGAGGAATGTCCCACGCGGGGGACTATTTTCGCCAATGGGCAACACTTAAAAAAGAACCGCGGGAAGGTATGATATTTATTTCTTCAGTCATTTTCAACGTGGTAGAGCATGCTGCAGCTATATAATGAATAGCTCCAGCACGAATGGATCGACTCGACCGGGGTAGGACCACGCTCTCATAGAATGCCAGCGTGAAATAGCTAAATAATGCTGCTGTGTTTCGTATGGTGAATGTAGAGACCGGCGACCCATTTTACTGAAAACGAGGCATTCCATCTTTGACTTCGGGGTTGACAACACATCTGAATTTTGATCCTTAATCGGCGATAGATGTATATGTCTATAGGTCACAATATCTACTTACCATCAGGAAAATTGTGAGCTCGCTTGTCACCTTTATACTATAAAAAAGTTAATGACATCAGAAAGAGTTTTTGTATTTGATATCGTCATCGTCATCATCAACTCATAAACAGCCTTTGTTTAGAATTCATGTTGTGGTTGGAATTACCACTCATTATCAAGATGAACTGCGTGCTCGATTTAAACTCGGTCGCAAGCACAAATAAAAACAGAATATCTGAAGGTCTTTTTTTCTCCTGTATCGTGGTTTACATACATAAATTTCTCACCGACAAACATCCAGATCCGGAACAATTATTTTTGGGCCATACAAATACTTACTACGTGCAGGATTCGAACCCGCGGTACTTAACATTGCAACTCATTGCTAAGCCACTGCGCCACGGAGCCGTCGAATCAGTTTTACTTCGATCCAGTGGTCAAAGCAACAAACTTACAATCCACCTGATGGTACGTGTACTGCAGTCCATGGACACATTTTGCCAACTTCACACAAAGAAGGCTGCAATTACGTTGTCACCTCTGAGGATATGAATGCCTCACTGCCTGTAATCTTACTAGCTCCCTATACCCTTCAGACTTCAGAGGAATACACAGCAGTGCAAGCAGTTTATTGGTGGTAAAAATAGGCAAAAAAGTGGTACTTAACTAGATAAAGTACCACCTAGTATTTTTTAGTCTTGAGGAAGAATGCGGGTAGAATTGATAATATTTTAAAGATAGGTACAAGGACAACGACTTATTCAAAACATAGTTTATTCATAAGTATTTTCATTTCCAGTATCTTCAGTCCCTGGGCTACTGTCCGCAATTCTTCGGGCTGGACGATTTCCTGAGCGGCTACGATAACTTGGCCCTCCTACTCACACTACGCGGACTCTCCGCCGAAGACGTAAAGAACGCGGCCAAGTCTTGGATCGAGGTTGTCGGTACGTACCATTATTTTTACGTGCCTATTATTTCTATCTTTGAAAAAATCTTTGTGTAATCGGTTAAGAGCGTAGACGGGCTGTATTTTTTCCATACAAATGTATTCCCCTATTCTCTACCTGGATAATACCTCTAGAGTAATCGTTTTTGTTTATAAAAAATCTAGGTCTATTGAAGGCATGCCCCTGTCATTCATTTTTTTCCAATAAATTATTACAAAAATAAATATGACTTTCCAAAAACCTAAAAAAATGCCCCGTTTTTACCTCCGTAATCAGACGACTACCAAAGAAATTTGAAAAGTTTTTAACATAAAAACAAGTAATAGGAGCATAGATCTATTCTTCCTTTAAATTTTGATACCAAAAATAATTTAATCGGCTTAGTTTTCGAGGAGGAAACAGGGGAATACGAAACATCGATCTGTCATGGTTTTTGTAGGTAAAATCGTTCTGATCTGCAGTTGTCCCTATCGCACTCTATGGGGGGAGACCATATATAGCGCGACGGCAATAGTTTATTCAAATACCTATTTCTCAATTCCCGCGCAGACCGACTACGCTCTTAACACAAGCGGTTTTATGGACCAATATGACTTAGGGACCATTATGAAAACAGCCTACTCTTTTTTAAAAGGCTAGCAATGCAACTGCAATTCCCGTAGTGTTGCAATTGTTATGGGTGGTAGTCACCATCGGGTAAGCCGTTCGTTTGCACCATATTATATTTAAAAAAAACATTAGAATCATCATCATCATCATCATCATTACAGCCCTCCACAAGTCCACTGCTGAACATACTAACGTTGGCAATATTATTAGATTAGGTTGTTTCTATTTCATCATAAAATATTGCCACATCAAAAAAATACAGTAATCCCATACATAGACATACGCATCTCCTGAAAAATACTTAGAATTTATTAATCATCGAAACACACTCAGAAATAATGAAAAGTTACTAGAAGTCACCTCTTATGTGTAAGTTTTACATTTTAAAGTTAAAAAAAAATTACCGGACATGTTATTGTGGAAACGGGGATAGAGCACTATGATCAGTCTGTGTTATTACTCCTGTTGTCTTATTCTATATAGGTAAAGAGCAATGGCAAAAAAATAGTTGACAAAAATTATAGCGTCTAGAAATAAGTTATATATAAAATGAGTTTTATTATTATTCTATGATTTATCAAATAAAAATGTATTTTAAGTAAAGCCACAGAAAAAAATAAACATTTTTGGGAATATCAAATGACTTAAATCATTTTACTCTATTCAAATGTTGCCATTTAGTATATTCATACTATTTTCGTATACACTTTGTGAGACTACCAACACAACACACAAAATATTTTTATATTAAGTTATTATTAGTAATAACTGTACTATAAGTAATAATAAAAATAAAAGTGATATGGCTGAGAATAAGTCTCTAATAAAGAATTTCCTACAATAATACATTATCTCAATCATAGTACTATGTAACAATTCCATTTAAGGTGGCACAAGTCGCGGGCTCGAACTCGCTGGTGGGCGCGGCCAAAAAGCACGCTGTCTCACCTGGCATCGTGCCCGACAGAGATAGTATCAGTGATGAGCATATCGACACTAGTATTCACGCACGTCTTGTTCGTACGGCATTCAGAACCGTTTGAACAAAAACGAAGTTACACGAACACGATGCAACATTTATACTAATATAATAAAGCAGAAAATATAGATCTTTACTCCGTCTAAAAAAAAGTCCGCGATACCATATGTCTATTTTTTATATACTCGTATAAGCCACAATTAGGCATTTTTATTTTGACAAAAAAAAAATGAAAATTTAATTATTAGGCATGGCATATTTATCCTTACGAACGAAAGTTACTTCATTATCAAGACAATTTTTTGAAGATAAACTTCGTTGTTTATGCCATGTTTATATAGTACATAGTTGAGATAATGTAAAATTAAAATAATTCAATACTTGGCCTTGACGCGCAAACAACGCATAACCCCTAGCCCGGTGCGAACTGAGAAGCCAGTATTGAAAGCTTCTATGAGCGAGGTTAGGTTAGCCGTTAGTTCAATCATTATCTATATCTACACAAATAAATAAAATTGAAGTGTCTGTTATAATGTCAAAATAACAGCTTTTTACTAATTGCATATGAAATTATATACGCTACTTATAACACAATTTTTAACATTTTTCTGTCTGTCTGTCTGTTTGTTCCGGTTAATTTCCAAAACGGCTGGACCGATTTTGACGGGACTTTCACTAGTAGATAGCTCATGTTATAAGTAGTAACTTAGAATGCTTAAATTTTAGAAAAATTATTAGGCGTCCGTGCAACAAAATTAACACCCTAAACTAAATGCGGACGAAGTCGCGGGGAACAGCTGGTAGCTAAAATAAATTCAAAATTAATTGAGTGCTTTTATCTATCTCCCAGGTGAGCGTAACAATGATTAGTTAATTCTGAACTCTTTCATTTCACGTTGCTATGGTATTTTGAAAGTTTAATTGATTAATAAGTTTTTATTTTATTTATTTCTTTAAAAAAAAGACGTTACCCCCACACTAGGATTTTCTCGTGTATCGTGGAGGCAGTTTACAAACACAAATTGCACAAGGACAAACATCCAGACCCGGAACAATTATTTGTAGGCCATACAAATACAAATACTTGATCCGTGCGGGATTCGAACCCGCGGCCCCCTGCTCAGCAACTCATTGCTAAGACACTGCGCCACGGAGCCGTATAAGAGTATAAGAGGTTGATAGCAAATGTATCAAGAATCATTTCTTGCCTACACACTTTTCATGTATCGTGTACGTTTTTCTTTAAAACTGAATAAAACCGCGCATAGTATGCCGACAGATAAAATAAAAGTACTTCATTAATTATGACAATTTTTCCATACATTATTATCAAATAAAATATTTGATTGCAATTATAAAACTAGGTGTCATGTCATGCCATGCATCTCGGACACATGATGACGCGGGTGAAACCGCGAAATGATTAGGCGCTGCTTTATCGCTTCATATTATACCTCTGTGGCTCTATATACCTAATATAGATTGCTTATTTTATTATGTTTAGTTTTTCCGAGTGGTTATGCAGCGATCACTCAAGAGTTCGGCTTCGAACGTGTGTAACTGCAAAAATTATCCCACGGGAACGAAATATTTTATATTACTGGGAGCCGCGGGTTCGAATCCCGCACGGAACAAGTATTTGTATGGCCTACAAATAATTCTTCCGGGTCTGGATGTTTGTCCTTGTGCAATTTATGTTTGTAAACTGCCTCCACGATACAGGAGAAACTCCTAGTGTGGGTGTAACGTTTTTTAAATAAGAAAAAAAAAATTTGTATGGCCTACAAATAGTTGTTCCGGGTCTGGATGTTTGTAAACTGCTTCCACTATACAGGAGAAAATGCTAGTGCGGGGGTAATGTATTTTTAAAAAATAAAATAAAATAAAATTCCAGACTATAACCTATCTCTGAGCAAAATATCATCCAGGTCCCTTCAGCGGTTCTGGCGTGATTGAATAACATACATCCTTTCATTCGTCCATCCAAATATCCAAACTTTCGCATTTATAATATTTAGATAATAATTGTAATTAGTTCTGCTTACCTATAAATTTTTTTCAAAAATACTTACCTGTCTTCTTACTTTTTTTTATATATACTCAATATCACTAAACGTAAACACAGGTTTTTATCAAGACAAGTGACCCATCAAGATTGTTTTCTTAGTACTGACGTACCTACCTAAAGTTTACAATTTTGTGGCCACGACGCGGTGACGTTTTGTGACATTTTGTTGTATTGTAGGTTGTAGGTATCTAGGTAATAACAGTAGGTACCTATGAAAATCCCACATAATATACCTTGTTTGTCCGCCGCAAGAGTCGTCTAATAAATAATTAAACTGTTTTGTAATTCTTTATTTATTTATAACACTTGCATTGAGAGCCGTGGTAGCTCAGATGGTTATCGTTCGCCGTAAGTATCACACTACGCGAGCAACCCGGGTTCGATCCCCGTCGGCACCAATGAAATTGTTGCAATTTTATATAGTAATCGTATATTATAGACTTAATTTTTTTTCTTTTATAATTATATTATATTACAGACGAAAATTGAAATAAAAAACAAAATTGTCTGTCGTCCAAAACGCATCATCTCTTTCAATTATATCAATTTCCATGCTGTCTTTTGTCTTTGGCGTCCAAATTACAAAATAGCAAAACTTTTCGTTTCGAATAAAACTCGAATAAGCCCGCGTCACCGCCCGTGCATGTGTGTGTAAGCGTCGTCCTCCCGCACCGCACCGGGGCAAACATTATTCAGTGAGATGCACGATAATTCATAGTAACATACGCGCGTAAAAAAATACGAAAAGGCCTTTGGAAGAAGGGGTTTTATGAAAAAACCACTGCATAAATTAATTACGAATAAAATTTCTTGAATTCTTCGATAATTGAGCTGTGTCGGTACCGACTTTGTTTTGGAAATTTCACACTTCTTTTATTACTAATTTACGCCCAAAGTTGTGTTAAAATTGGCAATAAAAACGAATCTTTGGTAGCTCGTAACTTTTTAATAACATTTTATTTTACTATTCTGTTTCCGTACAGACAAATTTGATAATGAGACAAAACGATATCATGTTTAACTTTGGATGTACACTGTCAAACAGCGTAGTAAAACCCCTCCGAAATTTGTATGGAAATCAATGGAAATATTGTCGACTAGTGTCACCTTAATGTTATGCCAACCCTAGCTAAAATAAAATGTCACTGTTTTTTTACTGGCTTTACGGCTCTGGGTTCTAGCCCTTCTGAGAATGTCACTATGATACAAAAGCCCTGGAGCCATGCCAGAAATATACATTTATAGTATGCAAATATATAATAGAGATACAATAATCTAAAAACTCTCAATTATGTATTATGTATTAAGCTAACATCAAACAACCACAGGAAGCATGACTTTTTCAAGTGACATAGGATATAACCTAAAAAGGTTCAAATGTAAATATCTTTTTTTTGAGGCCTTCTCAGTACAAAATTCTTTGACAGAGTTATTAAGGGACTGACGCTTAACATTTTAAGATATTTTTGGTATATAGACGCTACCATTTCTTCTCAACTAATTTTATGTATGAAAGTCTGCCATTGTTCTTTGTGTTCGTAGTGCATGTAGTCCATTTTTCAATCATATAATGTTCGGGTGTGGCGTATTTTCTTCCTTTTGTGTTTTTTTTACTTCCCGCTTTTAAAATTATTATTTTTAAAAATAAGAAGTTATAGATGTCGGCCCGATTTTTAGAATGCGAGTTTTGAGATCCTAGGAAGCTATTACGATTATTCCCGGCTGGACGTCTGGCCGTGTATGGGTGTATACGCGCGCGCGCGCGCGCGTGTGTGTGTGTGTGTGTGTGTGTGTGTGTGTGTGTGTGTGTGTGTGTGTGTGTGTGTGTGTGTGTGTGTTTGTGTGTGTGTGTGCGTGTGTGTGTGTGTGTGTGTGTGTGTGTGTCTGTGTGTGTGAGTGTGTGGTGTGTGTGTGTGTGTGTTTGTGCGTGTGTGGGTTTGCGTGTGCGTGTGTATGTGTGTGCGTGCGTGCGTGCGTGTGTGTGTGTGTGTGAGTGAGTGAGTGTGTGTGTCTGTCTGTAAATAAAATTTTGTCGTACGATATCTTTAGAACGATTCAACCGATCGAGGTGGGCAACGCGGTGTTCGAAAGTGTTCATTGAGACTTTGAGCTGATTAGATTTTCAAGTCAATCAGTTGAGGTTTTTCAAAGATTTTATGCTTTAATGCAGCGTATGTATCATCTAAAGAACATCGGTCAAATACGACCTGACCAAAATATGAATAGACCACCAATGATTGATACGTCAAAAATAGTGACTTAAGTGTATATTAAATTACGGGGTCCAACTTATTTTATTGGAGCCGGTAAAATAATTTATCTTTGTAATGAAAAACCCGTCCCGTTTTTATCTGTGGTACACGTTTCATCGTAACACTAAAGTAACACTATAAATCGCGGCACGTAAGTTGAACTATGACCTTGTATGCGCAGTAACACATTTTCGGGTCTCAATCGAAGTGCGTTATGAGGTGCGCCGCGAGGGGCCGCGCGTAACCATAGCAACGTGGCGGCGCTAGACCCCACTCAGTCGCACTCTGTCCCTCGCTACCCGCGCACTCACCGCGCGGCCCTGGAGTACAATCACGTACGAAGTTTTCAATTCTTTATAATTCATTATAAAGAATTGAAAACTTCGTACGTCATATCATTTATAATTCTGTCGATTGCGTGATCATTTAATTTAATTTAAAAAAAATGACTCGACCACAACCAACTTTAAGGAGACAGGGGAGAAGAATGATATTTGATGTTTATAATTATTTTTTAAAATAAAATAATATAACTGATTCTCTGAATAAAACTGCGGTAGCTACGAAAAAGTCTGTATCCACAGTTAAAAGGATTGTTAAAGGAAGTAAAAGTTCAGAGTTTATAGTTACTTTTAGGACCCCTGGTAAAAAGAGGCAACGAATAAAGCCAGTCACAGGTATAGACAATTTTGACAAGGGGTAATAAAACGATGTATTAACAATTTTCATTTAACTGAAAACGAATTACCGACCCTTGGTAAACTTCGTGCAAAATTACGTGCCGATATAAAATTTGAAGGTTCTAAATACGACGAATTCACGGTTTTTCCTTTAAGATTTTTGAATTTTTCAGGCAACCGTGGAGCATGTGTCTAACATTTTTGCCCATAATTGTACCTGCGCAAACGATCGCCATTTTAGTTCAACTTACGTGCCGCGATCTATACCATTATGCGTTTACTTTTTTAAATACTAGATTTTATTGTAGATTTTTTATTTATTTTTGTAGTGTATCAACAATATCGTTTTTTGATGGGGATATGGAAAGTATTCCGAAATAAGTTGCAAATAATAAGTTGACAGTAAATATAGAATGCACTAATATTTAGAACGGAACGTATTATGAGTGTCTTTATGCAGTCTGTGGTATTAGGACACGAGAGCTGTCAAAGCGCGAGCAAAAGTCAAAGCACCTGTGCCTTAGATACTTAGCGGTGAAAAGATTAGAAAGGTTATTGATTCATTTTTGCGGTTTTAGCCATTGACTTGACTTATTTAGTAAAGTATATATTACTGCATAGTTTTTATATCAATTGTTTTAGCTGAGGTTGTAGTCATGGCTAAATCATAACCTCAAAAGTGACGAAATACATAAGTGTAACGTTTTATGATCCTCGACTTTTAAATAATATATTTTCAATTTCGGATTTAGATTGTGCCCAGGGGGAACGGTTTAATCCATACACTATTCATGTTCGCGATATTTTATAGCCAGGTCACAGTATGTATGGGCTGTGACCGATGTTCTTTATGGGCTTAGAAGTACTTCTAGCTGTATTTAGTGTGTTCGGCGTGAGTGTGTGCAGGGCTGCGTGGGAGTGCGGGGCGGCGTGTGGTTGACTATAGCGGGCACGTGTGTATAGATAGGGCTGGTGCAGTGTAGGAGCGATGTACGGTGTACGTGTGTATAGATAGGGCTAGTGCAGTGTAGGAGCGATGTACGGTGTACGTGTATATAGATAGGATTGCTGCAGTGTAGTAGCAGGTGTATGGTATGTGCGTGTGCAAAGCTGCGTGAGTGAGTGGGTTGCGCGTTGTTGAGCTACAGCGGCGGCACGTGTGTGTGTGTATGTTTGTAGCAGTGTAAGTGCGTGGTACGATAGTGTTGCAGTAGTGTGGGTGCGGTGCGCGTGTGTCGGGGCTGCAGTAGTAGGGTGCGCTGTACAGTCACGTGTGCGGGGCTGCAGTGGTGTGAGTGCGTGCGCAGGGCTGCAGGCGAGCGGCGCGCGGCGCGCGGCGGGCTACAGCGGCGGCATGGCGCGGCGGCTGGCGGCGGGCGCGGCGCTGTGCACGGGCGCGCGCGTGGCGCTGCTGGACGAGCCGACGGCGGGCGTGGACGTGTCGGCGCGCCGCCGCGTCTGGGCCGCGCTGCGCCGGGCGCTCGCCGCGCGCCGCGCCACCCTCGTCACCTCACACAGGTACGCGTTCTGCTTCTTTATAAATTGCTTTTTAAACTCCTTGTCTTTCTTTGGTAATGGTTTTGTACGGTTGTTTTGCCAGTAACATATATCATGAAATTATTCTATTAATTTGTGCAAAAACTCTCCTATTTTATATCTTTCTGTCACATCCTTACGAAACCCACGAAAACATATTATATAAGAGATATGATAATAGTAATTTTTCTTATGTTACCACTATCTGGCACTAAAATCTATCCAGCTTTAAACCAACAAAGAAATATCACTGAGACAGAGCGCTGCATATAAATCAAGTAAAATAAACAGAAACAGAAACAGAAACTTTTTTATTCAATATAGATTATAAATAATACTTATTGAAAGTCACTCTTTTGTTTGATTACCACTGGTTCGGAAAAAACCTCTGTCCTGGGAAGAACCAGCAAGAAACCCAGCGGGACTTTTTTTTAAATAACAGCTTACAATCATGATGTTACACAAATTAACAACACAACAAATTAGAAATAGCTTGGTAGCGATCACCTCATTTCCAGGGGTTATTATCATCCATAAATTCCTTAATATTATAATAACCCTTTTTATACAAACTTAGTTTAATAAAGTTTTTGAACTTTGAACAGGCCAAACTTTGTATATTTTCTGGAATTTTATTGTAAAAGCGTATACATCGCCCCAAGAATGAATTACTGACTCGATGGAGTCGAGTAACTGGTACTACTAGCTTGTGTCTGTTCCTAGTATTTACAGAATGAATATCACTTATTTTTATAAAACTACTTTTATTTTTGTGTACGTACATTACATTTTCATAAATGTATTGAGAGGCCAAAGTTAATATATTAATTTCCTTAAATTTTTGTCGCAGCGACTCTTTAGGCTTTAAATCATAAATTGCTCTTATGGCCCTCTTCTGCAAAACAAATATAATTTCAGTGTCAGATGCGTGTCCCCATAGCAAAATACCATACGACATTATGCTATGGAAGTAGCTGAAGTAAACTAGTCTAGCTGTTTCAACACTGGTTAGACTTCTAATCTTTTTTACAGCATATGCTGCAGAACTAAGTCTGCTTGCTAGTTTTGATATATGGGGGCTCCATTGAAGCTTCGCGTCTAGTGTGATTCCAAGAAAAATGGTGGTATCTACAAGACTCAGTTTCTCCCCATTTAAAATTACATTAGTATTTAATTGTTTGACATTTGGAGTCAAGAATTTCATACATTTTGTTTTAGTGCCATTTAAATGCAAATTATTAACATCGAACCAATTTACTAATTCAGATATAGCATTATTTACTTCGTCATATATTAGTAACTGTCGACTTAATTTGAAAATTAAAGAAGTGTCATCTGCAAATAATACTATATCATGGTTATCCCCTACTATGTAAGGTAAGTCATTAATGTATACAAGAAACAGAAAGGGGCCGAGAATTGAGCCTTGAGGCACGCCCATTTGTACCATCGATCCGGAAGAGCTCATATTGTTAATGACAACTTTTTGCGTTCTCTTACTTAAATATGAAATAATTAATTTAAGGGCATCACTTCTTACACCGTAGTGTTGAAGTTTCCTGATTAATGTTTCATGGTGAACACAATCGAAGGCCTTGGATAGGTCACAAAATATACCCAAAGCATCCTGTGAATTCTCCCATGCATTAAAGATATATTTAATCAGCTCAACACCGGCATCAGTTGCCGAGCGACCCCTTGTGAAACCAAATTGATTTTTATGAAGTAAATTATTTATATTTAAAAAATTTAACATTTGATTAAGAACAATTTTTTCAAAAATCTTACTAAGTATTGGTAGTACAGAAATAGGTCTAAAATTGGAGGGGTCTAATGTACTACCAGATTTAAATAAAGGTATTACTTTACTATGCTTCATTAAATCAGGAAACACACCAGATTCGATACTAGTATTAAAAATAATAGCTAAATGAGGCGCGATTGTATCTATTATAGACGCAATAACTTTAACGGAAATCCCCCACAGATCCGCAGTTTTTTTAACATCAATAGTTTTAAAATATTTTACAATATCTTTTGATGACACTTTATGAAATGTAAAATTCTTTGTACACACATTTACATTTTGTTTAAGTAATGATTCGGCGACGGCAGGAGAAGAATTCAGTGACTTAGTAGTCAAGATCGGAATATCAGTAAAATATTTCTCAAAAACCATTGCTACGTCCTGATCTGATACAGTTAATTTGTTGTTAACACTTAACTGGTAATTTGAATTGCGAGAGTTGATCTTACCAGTTTCGCTATTAATTATACTCCATGTCATTTTAATTTTATTGGAAGCCGTCTTAATTTTGTTGCTCAAATGCAAAGACTTGGCTATGGAGCACACTCTTTTAAATATTTTTGAATATTTTTTTACATATTCCCTAAATTCGACGCTATGATTATATGACCTTTCATGGTAAAGATCATATAACCTATGCCTGCTCTTATGGACTCCTACTGTCGCCCATTCATTGAATGACTTCCGACTGTTCAAGGAGAATGTTTTAGAAGTAAAAGTATTATTAAATTCATTGCAAATACGCTTAAATAATGTTCCATACAAAAAATTAGGATCATTTTGGTATGAAAGTGATGGAAGCTTTTTCACTATGTTACTTCTAAATTTCTCCAAGCGACGTGCATTTACTGGAACAGACACAACTTTCTCATCTACTTGCTTTTTGTGAACATAAGGTAACGAAACTACTTGTCCACAGTGATCAGAACTTAATTTTTGAATTATACATTTATGCAACGGCTTCACATTTGTAAAAATGTTATCTATACATGTTGCACTAGATTGAGAAATACGCGTTGGCTCTATAAATAAATTAAAAAGACCATATGATTTAAACAATGATCTAAATTTAATATTGATGGAGGAAGCTTCTAGGAGATTGATATTAAAATCTCCACATATTACAACAGATTTATTCTGTTTATTAAGCTTAGCAAAAACTTCCTAAATCTAAATCTCATAAATAAAAACTATTCTCTACTTATTGTAATAAAAAACATTTGATGATAGTATATTTTTAAATGCATAAACGTGCAACAGTGAACTATTATGCTGATAATTAAAGAAAGAAGAATGAATGTATATGAATGAAACATACGTCTATCTTTGTCGGTCTTAAGAATACCAAACGGTATTCGCTGAAGGTCATACAGGTTTACGCACCAACCTCGGCACACCCCGATGAGGAGGTGGAGGAAATGTAAAAAAGGAAATATCTCTAGAGCCATGCATTCCTCCAAAACCCAATATACGGTGTTAATGGGAGACTTCAATGCAAAACTAGGCACAGGAGAAAACGGTGAGCTGAAAGTAGGGAAATTTGGAATAGGGCAACGGAATTCAAGGGGACAGCAGCTGGCCAACTTCATGGATAAAGAGGGACTCTTTATGATGAACTCTTTCTTCCAGAAGCGGCCCCACAGGAAGTGGACCTGGTAGAACCCCGACGGTGCCACAAAAAATGAGATTTACTTCATTATGACGACCAGACGACAACTGTTCAGTGGTTTCCGTGATCGTGAGGGTGAAAACTGGTAGCGATCACCGAATGGTTAGAGGCACACTGAACCTAAACGTTAAGTTGGAGAGGTCTCGTATAATGAAGTCAACGGTCCGTCCCCCTCGTGCTCTGTTCCAAAGTCCCGAAACCTTTCAGCTCGAGTTACAAAACCGTTTTCAGTGCCTAGAAGACTGCAATGAAGTGGACGATATGAATAACAAGCTCGTGGAAACTGTCCATGCGGTCGGAGCTAAGTTCTGCAAGACCCACCGCAGAAGAACACAAAAACTCTTCGATCACACTCTCAATCTCATGGCTGTTAGATGGGAGATGAAGCTACATTCTTCAACAGATTTGACAGTATACAGGCAACTGAACAGACAGATCTCTAAATGCATGCGGCGGGATTTACGCAACTTCAATACAGCTTGCATTGAAGAAGCGATCGAGCGGAACCAAGGTCCCAAAGTCTTTGCCAGAGATCTGTCTGCCAGAAAGAGCCAACTGTCAAAGCTGAAGACCGAGTGTGGCGGCATCGTTTCCGGGGCACCTGTGATTTTGAGTGAGATTTAGAGGTTCTATGGGCAGCTTTACACGTCATCGTTGGAGACACACGCAAGTGTGAGTAACGATCCAAGAGCGAGTCTTATCCGACACTATTCCGAAGATATCCCGGACGTCAGTCTGAGCGAGATTAGAATGGCTCTCTAGCACCTTAAAAACGGCAAGGCCCCAGGTGAGGATGGAATTACAGCGGAGCTTCTGAAAGCGGGTGGACGACCGGTACTTGAAGTCCTTCAGAAGCTCTTTAATTCTGTCCTCCATGGTGGCATTACACCGGAGGCGTGGAGCAGAAGTGCGGTGGTCTGAACAAGAAAGGTGACAACGCTTTCTTGAAGAACTACAGACCGATTTCCCTTCTGAGCCGCGTCTACGTGCTGTTTTCGAGAGTCCTTACGAATCGTCTCGCGCGCAGACTTGACGACTTCCAGCCTCCCGAACAAGCCGGTTTCCGAAAGGGCTTTAGCACCATAGACCACATACATACCCTTCGGCAAATTGTACAGAAGTCCGAAGAGTACAATTTGCCACTATGTCTGGCGTATGTGGACTATGAGAAAGCCTTTGATTCCGTCGAAATTTCGGCGGTGCTGCTGTCCCTTCAACGGTGCCAAGTTGACTGTCGGTATATCGAGGTGCTGAAGTGTTTGTACAGTAGAGCTACGATGGTTATCCCTGTACAGAACCAGAGTACGAAACCTATCCAATTGCAGAGAGGTGTAAGACAGGGTGATGTTATATCCCCGAAACTCTTCACCGCTGCATTGGAAGACGTTTTCAAACTTCTGGACTGGAAAGGATACGGTATTAACATCAATGGCGAGTACATCACTCACCTTAGATTTGCCGACGATATAGTCCTTATGGCAGTATCGCTGGAGGACTTAAGCACTATGCTCAATGACCTCAATAGTGTCTCCCAACGGATAGGTCTTAAGATGAACATGGACAAAACAAAGATTATGTTTAATGTCCATGTCACACCTATGCCGGTAGTTGTTGGGAGCACTAAGCTCGAAGTTGTTGACGAGTATGTTTACCTGGGACAAATAGTCCAACTAGGAAAGTCCAACTTCGACCGAGATGTCAATCGACGGATTCAACTCGGCTGGGCAGTGTTCGGGAAGCTGCGACACAGCTTCTCGTCAGACATACCTCAAAACCTTAAAACGAAATTGTACAACCAGTGCGTGTTGCCAGTGATGACTTACGGATCTGAGACGTGGTCCTTCACTGCTGGCCGTATGAGGAAGATCGCTCAGCGAGCTATGGAGAGAGCTATGCTTGAAGTTTCTCTGCGTGATAAACTTAGAAATGAGTATATCCGCAGTAGAACCAGAGTGACCGACATAGCCCAACGGATTAGTAAGCTGAAGTGGCAGTGGGCCGGCCGTATAGCTCGAAGTACCGACAACCGATGGGGAAGAAAGATTCTTGAGTGGCAGCCTCGTACCGATAGGCGAAGTGTAGCGATCCCCCACGAGATGGAGTGACGACCTGGTAAGACATTCAGGAAGTCGATGGATGCAGGTGGCTCAGGACCGTGCTTTGTGGCATTCCTTGGGGGAGGCCTATGTTCAGCAGTGGACTTATGAAAGACTGTAATGATGATGATGAAACCACCGAAGCATTCCTTTCTTAATCTTGGTCAAAACATCATCTTGCAAACCACACTCTTCTTTTATCACACAATTTCTTACTCTGTCATTCAGATTCAGCCCAAACATACTCTTTAATGACCGCATTTCTACAGCATCTATTCTACTCTCGTGCTTGTTCTGCCACACCTAACTTTCACTACCATACATTAAAGTAGGGACTAACTAATTATGAAATTAGTCCCTTAGTGTAGAAGTAACATTTAAAAACATTTTCGGTAGCATATGTGTACAAAACAATATTATTTGCGACAGCATGGACGAGATGGAGGCGCTGTGCTCGCGGATCGCGATCATGTCCGGCGGGCGCGTGCGCGCGCTGGGCTCGGCGGCCGCGCTGCGCGCCGCGCACGCGCAAGGCCACGCCGTGCAGCTCAAGCTGCGGCCCGCACCCGCCCTCGCGCACGCCGACGGTAACGCACCGGCCCCTACCTGCTTTAACATTAAGCTACCCCTACCCTGACACCACATCCTCATAAAAATCATACTATTTTTAAATATATCCCCAAATAAGCGTGCCCAAAGCAAATCATTTTGCACGTAGTAGAGCCATGCTGCAGCTATATTATGGTTGCAGTACGAATTGGTCGGACCAGCGAAAGACCACACTCTCACAGAGTACCAGCGTTAAATAGCATCTTAATGATGTTGTGTTTCGTATGATGACTGTATAGAACCAGAGTTCTTTTTACTACCAGTAAGCCACGAGGCATTTCTTCTTAGTCCTTAAGTACTAACCTTTCGCATCCAAATTTTGATTTTAATCAAAGATATATCTAGATGTCTATAGGTCACAGTTACCATCATATGGACAATGTATGTGCTCGTTTGTCACCTTGATCTATAAAAAAAAAACAATTGGACACACGTGTCTATTCTTCCATCCGATTACAATGTGGTCGTCTTCAAGGATAAAATAAATAAGGCTTTTGACAAGACGCTTAGACGCTTACAATCTAAGGTTTCATCACCATCCGACGCCAGATTGGATTGTAGTCAAGCAATGACTTATAATAAATTAAAACAACCGCAAGGTCTCTGCCAAAATAAAAGCCTTTCAAGAAAATACAAGTGTACTTATAAATCTGTACGGTCTAAAAAAACACGATTAGTCCGATCGGACTGCTAGGACAGCAACCTTGTGAGTAATGCAGGAGTTCGATGGATGAAGGTGGCAGAGAAGCTCATAACTGTGTTATGTGGCATTCCTTGGGGGACGCCTATCTTCAATAGAATATAATAGTCCCCTTGTGAAGGCTGCAATGATGGTGATACCTTATATGAGTTTTCTACTTTTCGTAATGTCTCTAAATTAATCCGTTTACTCTTTAATTTTTATACAAATAAATTTTGATTACATGGAACTGTGATGCAATTTACTGGTATTCTTATACAATTGCTATAGTCCCCTTTTTGAAAGCTCACAAGTAACATTTCAATCGATGAGTGTAAATAATAATTATTCGGGTTGAATTTATTTTAAAATAACCACTACTTTTTTCATATTCTTATATTGTAATCCGATTCTGAGCCAGGTTCAATATTTCAAGTCTCTAGCTCATCGGAAAGTTAGTTTAAAATTAATTAATAAATTCGACCCGAATACACACCCGAGTACACGAAAGCAAGGTAGTAGAAACGTAGTAAAAAGTCATCTTTACAAAAAAAAATATTAGGTTTATATACTAAGCTAAAACTTTTTTTTTATTACAGTAACGGATAGCGCTAAGTCGGATGTACAGCGACTTAAATCGGAGCTTCATCAGAAATTCAACTGCCAACTCAAGGATGAGCATAAGGTAAGAAGTCATGCTATTTTTTGGCTAAGTTGTTAAACAAAATACCAACAGATATTCTTATATCAGTAATGCTTTAGAATGATTCATTGTCTTTGAAATGCAACCTACACTGTGCACGCTTTACAGCAGTCATCCCCCACCCCCCACCCCCCCACGTGGCCATGGGTGCTAAACATTATATTTAAACATATTGCATTATATATAAAATAAAATTAAAATAAAAGGTCAGGTGTAGTTTTTCTCTGTTGTTGTAAAATATAGCTTCTATTAATTGAATTATGTACTGCATTCTGGTTATCTTTTTATCAATTTTCTGGGATAATATAAAAGTTATAAACGAGCACTTTAAACTGATGTCGTACATCTTATTTTTTCTTTAAAAAAAACGTTACCCCCACACTAGGATTTTCTCCTGTATCTTGGAGGCAGTTTACAAACAGAAATTGCACGAGGACAAACATCCAGACCCGGAACAGTTATTTGTAGGCCATACAAATACTTGTTCCGTGCGGGATTCGAACCCGCGGCCCCAGCGCAACAACTCATTGTTAAGCTACTGCGCCACGGAGCCGTCTAATATCAAATCTGCACATACATAATAATAATAATAATTTATTTGCCAGAAATATGGTGATTACAGACATTATAATTATAGATAGTACAAGCATATTTCGCCAGTGGCATGCAAATACATATTTTTTTTAAATGTACATGATTCTATTAAAAATATGTTTAATTATAATTTTATGATAAATTCAAGATTAAAAACTCTTAAGACACATAACATGGATGTCAATAATTAATAATAAAAAAAAATTAAAAAAGTCGTAAATTAAAAATTCATATTATATCAAATCAAAAAAAAATTAAAAAATAATCAAGTGTACATGTCAATACGAGGGCTGCACTAAAAGTATCGGGAATAGAATATTTCCACTGTTCCTGTCATATTAAATTTTTTTTAATTAAAAAGTCCTTGGTTTTAAAAATCGAATACCATTTATTTATTTAAAAAACGATTCTCGGTCTTGTCACAAGGTTTTGTCAAATTTGTTTAGTCGTTGAGAAAATGGAATTGACTCGAGAAAATTCAAGAGCGATGATTTATTATGACTTTCGAAGTGGTTTAACACAAAAACAGTGTGTTGACCGGATGATTTCTGCATTTGGTAATTTGGTAATGAAGCCCCATCCAAAACCACAATTTATCGCTGGTTTGCTGAATTTCAACGTGGACGTGTCAAGCTCAGTGATGATCCCCGTCAAGGTCGTCCAAAAACTGCAATCACCCAAGAAAACGTTGATGCTGTGCGTAAGCTGATTAAGGAAGATCGACATGTGACATACCGCGAAATTCAGGCAACTTTAGACATTGGCATGAGTCAAATACAAATAATCTTGCATGAACAATTAGGTGTAAAAAAGTTGTTTTCCCGATGGATACCGAATTCACTCTGTGAAGAGCAAAAAGCGGCTCGCGTTACTTGGTGCGTCAGAACTCTCGAAAGATTCCACGCGGGATCCTCAAATGCTGTATACAACATCGTATCAGGTGACGAATCCTGGATATACGCGTACGAACCCGAAACAAAAAACCAGTCACGAGTCTGGGTGTTCGAAAATGAGTTAAAGCCAACAAAAATTGTTCGCTCACGGAGTGTTGCAAAAAAAAAGGGTGGCCACGTTTGTCTCCAAAACCGGCCATGTTACGACTATTCCTCTTGAGGGATAAAGAACGGTTAATGCAGAATGGTATGCTAGCATTTGTTTGCCACAGGTCGTTTCTGAACTCTGTAAAGAGAACTGCAACCGCCGCATCATCCTCCATCACGACAATGCGATTTCTTACACCGCACACAGAACAAAAGAGTTTTTAGAACAAAAAAAACATAGAATTATTAGACCATCCGCCGTACAGCCCCGACCTAAGCCCTAATGATTTCTATACTTTCCCTAAAATAACGAATAAATTGCGTGGACAGAGATTTTCATCACCTGAAGAAGCTGTGGACGCCTACAAAACGGCCATTTTGGAGACCCCAACTTCCGAATGGAATGGTTGCTTCAATGATTGGTTTCATCGTATGGAAAAATGTGTCAAATTTCGCGGAGAATACTTCGAAAAGCAATAAATACATTTTTAAATAGTAATGTTGTGTCACTTCCTTGATTCCCGAAATTTTCAGTGCCGCCCTCGTAGTTATTAATTTTATATTCATTTATTTAGTCAATTTTACACGAAATGTCTTATAAAATACTTATCATTTTGGTTTATAACAATAAAAATCATCTAGAGTATAAAAACAATTTTGGATGAGATATTGTTTTAGTTTCTTTTGAAAATGTTTTAATGGAAGTTCGAATCTAATTCTCGAATTTCAACAGGAAGTTTATTATATACTTTTATGCACATAATGGGACAATTTTTCTGAAAAAAGGCAGTTACATAATCTAAAATTTAATCTTGTTACGTCTCTATGTGGGAATCTTTTATCTGTATTATCAACACACCTCTGAAATAAATGTGGATATTTTTTTACGAAAGTTCCGATTTCATACACGTACATGGAACACAGAGTCATAATTTTTAACTGCTTAAAGAGTGGTCTACAAGAATCGAAAGGTCCACATCCACAGATTGCCGTTATACATTTCTTTTCCATTAGAAATTCTCTCTTAAAAAACTTGAATTGCCCCAGATTAAAAGCCTATGCCGTAACACGGACGCTACATATCCATGATATGCTGTGATAGCGGCTTCTTTACTTATTAAGTAAGTCTTCTGAGCGCATAAACGAATTTATTTAACTTGTCACACATTAAATTTATGTGATTTGCCCAACTACAGTGCTGGTCCAAGATAAGGCCGAAAAATTTTATGTCGACAACCTTTTCAATTTCTTTGCTATGACTCATTATTTTCATTGTAGGAATATTTGCGCGGTTTGTACAAAATGTGATATATTTAGTTTTAAGTAGATTCGGACATAAATTATTACTTTCGAGCCAATTTACTATAGATGTGACAGTACTGTTAACTTTGAGTTCATAATCTAAAGGCTTTTCTTTACCTGTTATTATAACTGATATATCGTCGGCATATAGAGTACAATGTTGATCGATGGCCAATGAAAGGTCAAATGAAGTCTATTTGAACGCATTGGGTTCTGTCATTTAAATAAGATTTTATCCACTGGAATGCAAGCCCTCTTATGCCATATTTTTGAATTTTACCAAGCAAAACCTTATGATACCACAAAATCGAATGCTTTACTCATATCGAAGAAGACATACATACATACATATAATCACGCCTCTTTCCCGAAGGGGTAGGCAGAGACCACTTCTTTCCCCTTACTACGATCCTTACATACTTGTTTCGCTTCTTCCACTTTAATTATTGCCTTTATACATGCTGTTCAATTAAGGGTACTCTTGACCTGGCCTTTTTTCAAGACGTCCCTGATTTGGTCTAGAAACGTCCGCCTAGGTCTACCCCTTCCAACAATTTCATTCACCCTCGCCTTATACACCTTTTTCGTCAATCGTTCTTCATTCATTCTCTCGACATGGCCAAACCATCTCGGCATACCTTTCTCAATTTTTGTCACTACATCTTCTTTCAGACCACAACGTTTCCTTATCTCTCTATTTCTTATCCTGTCACTCAGTTTAACTCCTATCATACTTCTTAACGCTCTCGCATTTATTCTGCTTTCATGTTTCTCCTACCATACCCAACTTTCACTTCCGTACATGAGTGTCGGAACCAATACCCCATCATGCACAGCCAAACGAGCCTTGTTAGACACCTTCCGACTGCTCATAAAGGAGTGCAAAGCTCCATTCACCATGTTTCCTGCATTCACTTTTCTTTCGATATCACTCTCACACTCAAATCTGCACCCAATATCAATAAAAGAAAGCAACAGGTCCGTCGTCTTCCCTCGGGACCAAAATATCTCGTAGTTATACTGGCTCTCTTAACTTTCAAAGCGAAATGCAGCAATGAGTACACTGTAGATTGACAGTAGATATTAACAACGAGGGTGATACCAATGCATACGAACTCCTAGCCAGAAGAGAAATTCTAGTAGATAAGATATAATACGTAAAGTAACTAGTAAATTAGATATATACGGCTATTTTGCCATATACGCCCAAATTTGAAGGGAAGCTTCAGAATAAGTAATGTCCCAAAAATATCACGTCAGAGCGACATGGAAGATAGTTTAGCCTTAGATCTTGCAGATAAAAAAAAATTACCTTAATAAAAAGTTTTTAGTTTTCGAGATATCGTCAATTATTTTATTTTCTCAAAAATCTCTACTTTATGTTAGTGTTTCTACTGTTGTCGTTAGAAATACCTTGAAAATCTTTGGTTTTTATATTTTTTTTATTTATCGAACAGTTTTTCCATGCATTGAAAGTAAATTTGCCCCAAAATCTCGTGTATTTTTTAAGAAAAAAAATTATTTGTGTTACTTTTTTACCTTTGAAAAAATTTCACTTCCAACTTTGATGACCTACCGTGCAAAAAAAATGTACTGACGTAAACTGGCAAATAATTTGGAAAATTGCTCTATTTACTGCAGATTCAGAAAAGGTATAACACTTACATTAATTATTTTTAAAAAATGTAGGAATTAGCATTTTTTACATTAAGGGTAGCGCTCTCAGCGGGAAGCTGTACTTTGGTATTGAATAAACGAATTCTTTTTTCAAAAGCAATGAAAAGGAATGTTGTTTAGTCTTTGTGTTTAGCATCGCAGCAACCCGTTCTCGGGTCATAAACTGAGCGAGACAGCTGTGAGTAGGGGGAGTACAGTGCTATCTCAGTCTCGCACATGTAGCTTCGGTAGTTGGTTTTGTTTTTAGTACGTTATCATCAGTTTTTCGTGATACACGTGCGGGTTTGTGCTCCCCTCGTTGCTTTTAATATTTTTGTCTACTCGGCGTTTATTAATTGGACTTTGATTTGCTTACTACTTGGACTATTGTTGAACTGCTTGATGTTGTTGTTAAAGTACTAATAATGGAAAATCCACGACAAGGCGCTGTTAGTCGCTTTACACATCGTGAGTACGCTGACATGTACCTGATTTACGGCGAAACCAGGCAAGTTTCTACTCGAGGCATAGTGTCATTAAACGCAAGGTTGGCTGCAAGATTGTATGCGGAACGGTATCCAGACCGTGTACATCCGACATATGAGGTGATTAAACGATTGGATTCTGCCTACAGGGAGGGTAGAATACCTGGAACTCGAGGTTCTCAATCTGGGAGACCGCGAACAATTGAGGACGACATCGTGCTACAGGAACGCGAAGAGGAGCCCTCGACTTCGGTTCGTATGATACAAAGCCGCACTGGAATACCGAAATCATCGCTTTATCGTATTTTAAAAAAAAGGTATCAGTTTCACCCATACCACATACAAAGAGGGCAAACTCTCCTTCAGGGTGATTATGTAAAACGAGTGCTGTTTTGCCGACGAATGCTGGAGCTAAATAGGCAAGATCCCAACTTTTTTCATAAAGTTTTGTGGACTGATGAGCCTCAGTGCAGAAGGGACGGATACCTTAACCTGCACAATATTCATAGTTGGCAGTTAGAAAACCCGCATGAAACTAGAAAAGACCGTTCACAATACATGTTTAAAATCAATTTATGGACAGGAATCTTCAATGGTTCAATATTAGGACCAGTAGAACTACCTCCGACATTAAATGGTGAAAACTATTTGGCATTTCTTCAACACCAATTGCCAACGCTCCTAGAGGATGTGCCACTACAAACAC